GAAATGGACATCCTCAAATGGCAAGTAAGCACTAAAGAGGGGGTTTCCTCATGGAAATCTGAAAACTTTCAAAATTTAAACACTGAAGATATATATTCCTGTTTCTTGGAAATTTTCCATAATTGTATGGCTGAAGCTGTACCCCGAAAAATTATCAAATATAGCAACAGAAGGATACACCAACCCTGGATCAACGAAGAAGTAAAAACTATCAAAACAGAGCTAAATAAATTAAAAAAAGGTTTTCAAGCAAAGACAAACGCCTAGAAATTTAATAAAATTGAAAGAATGTGAGCAAAAATATGAAGAGGAAATTGAAAAAGCTAAAGATGAATGGGCTGATATGCTGTGTGAAAACATAAATCTGTGTGATACTCCAAAAGAGAAATGAAGGTACTTTCAGAGTTTAACATCCTATCAAGTAGAAGATGTAGATACTATATTCCCCCTTGTAAACAGTAATGGTGATGTGATTTTTGATAGAAAAGAAAAGGCAAATTAAACTACTGGAAGACACCTTGTTCAGTGATAAACATCTACAAAATGTAACCTTTGATGAAGATTTCAAGAAGCATATTGAAGAAGAACTGTTTAACATCAGAGAAAGTAAACATCATGATACAAAAGAAGATGAAAGTCAAGGTTTTCTTAATAGACCTATTATAGTTCAAGAGGTAGAAGCAGCTATCCAGCATTTAAAGAAAAATAAAGCACCTGGATCGACCAGATAAAATATACACGGATTTACTTTAATACTCAAATAACCACCTTCTTGAAGCCATCACATATATTTTTCAACTTTCCTGGGATACCAGTATTCTTCCCCAGGCCTGAAAAACAGCAACAGTCAAATTCTTTAAAAAAAACATGGAAAAGAGTCCTATTTTAAGTCAGGATCCTACAGGCCTATAAGCTTGACAAGTGTCCTTGGGAAATGTATGGAGAAAATAGTATTTGCCAGATTATATGCATACTCTGAATACAAGAACATCATAGACGATGAACAAGAAGGTTTTGCACTACACAAGCTCTATTAAGGCTGGTGCAGAGTATTTTTGATGGTTTTAATGAAAAAAGTGCACACTAGATGTATTTCTAGACTTGGAAAAGAGCCTGCAACATTTTACAATTTTGCCGTGTTGGGCTTTCTTTATGGATTCTGTTTATCACTATTTCATTGTCTTGTCTGTGATATGCAGGCTTCATAACCTCAGATCCCCTTTCAAAATTCCATTTTATTCAGTTCCGCCCATTGTTTTCTCGTTTAGGGCACAAGCATTCTTTTTCTTGGGGACCATACGCCGCTTTTCATGGAATGACACTACTGTGTCACATTGAAGGTTCCATGATAACCGCCGTATGAACACATCTGCGGATGTTTCTAAATTCAAAATTCACCGTTTTTGTGTTTAAATGTTGAATTCTGCTTAAGCCGGTGCTAGGGGTGCTAGGTAACTTGCACTTTCCAGTACCGTCCATGAATAGGCTCAATCAAACCGAGCCTGCAACATTTTACAATTTTGCCGTGTTTGGATTTCTTTAGGGATTCTTTTTATCACTATTTCATTGTCACATCCGTGTTATTTGTGCCGTGTGGGGGCTGTAAAAAGTCTCCCCGTACATTTAATCAATGATGTTATATTTTCGATCCTTGAAGATCGTTCAGCACGACATTATTGTTATGTATACGTATTAGATGGTCTTTTTAGTTTCTTGTATTTGGCCTATTTCAATATGGGTGGTACCAGTATTCCTAATTGAATACTGTATAATCACCCTTAGGATATGTTGCCTGCTTTTTAAATTTGTCTTTTGACGTCTTGTCTGTGATATGCAGGCTTCATAACCTCAGATCCCCTTTCAAAATTCCATTTTATTCAGTTCCGCCCATTGTTTTCTCGTTTAGGGTACAAGCATTCTTTTTCTTGGGGACCATACGCCGCTTTTCATGGAATGACACTATACTGTGTCACATTGAAGGTTCCATGATAACCGCCGTATGAACACATCTGCGGATGTTTCTAAATTCAAAATTCACCGTTTTTGTGTTTAAATGTTGAATTCTGCTTAAGCCGGTGCTAGGGGCGTGGACGGTGACTTGCACCTTCCAGTACCGTCCATGAACAGGCTAATCAACCGAGCCTGCAACATTTTTACAATTTTTTGCCGTGTTTGGCTTTCTTTAGGGATTCTGTTTATCACTATTTTATTTGACAGTGTATGGAGGGATGTATGCTTGTTAAGCTACAAAGGATTGGGAAAAAAGAGGGAAAAATGTGGCAATGGCTGTCCAACTTCTTAACTGGAAAATCAGCAAGATGTTGTTGTAACATGGAAATGGGATGATACCTTCCCAAATTCAATTGGATTACCACAAGGCTCAGTGCTCTCCCCTCTTTTGTTCAATCTATACTTAACTGGATATATTTCAAAACATAAAAAGCAATAGTATCAAATTGCAGATGATGGGACTATTTGGATGTCTGGAAATATAAACATGGATTTAGAGAAATCAATCAATACAAAGGGGACACATGGACAAAGAATGGAGAATGAAATAAATTTTAGATAAAACTGAATACACCATCTTTAATAGGAAAAAAGAAAAACTTAGGTCAAATAGAGATCTGCTTAAACAAGAAAATATTGCAACAGAAAGATAAAGCAAACATTTTAGGAGTTATCTTAGATTCTGAATTGTCATTCAAAGAACATATAGAATACACTGGAAGAAAATGCACTAAAACATTGGCTTCCTTGATGTCAGTAGCCAAAGCAGAGAAGATCAGTGTCAAAAATATGATAAATCTTTATACAAGCTTGGTTTTAAACTCAGTTGGAGTATGCATTCACTGTTTGGCAGATTGCCAACTGTCAGCCCCTGGACAAGATACAAAGGAAAGGTTTAGCTTACTGCCGTGGATTACACAACACAGCCAGTAAAGAAGCAGTTGAAGTATTGGCTGGAGTTCTTCCACTTGATTTGAGGCGAGAAAAAAATGACCATTCGAGAATGCGGGGAAAATAATTGCCCAAAAAATATCAGGCAAAAACATGCAAAAAGTCTAAAAAGACTGTCAAGATAAGATATGGAAAGTTACAAGAAAAAATTCCAATCTCCATTCTTTTGCATGCTCACACAGGTAGAAGACATGAAATCATTAACCACCATCACACTAAACAGTATTGAACCAGAATTTTCATATCTTGAATACCTGCAACCATCTAGAACCAGACCAGATTACTGGAACAATCTAGGGTCTTCCAAATCAAGAACTCTTTAACAAGAAGAAGATGAAAGACAACACATCTCATCACTTTTTTTATGTAGATACCAAAACAGCGGTAGCATTTACTGTTGGTTCCTGTAGAGGAAATCCAGGTCCATGTGGTGCTGGAGCCTGTATTTTTTTCCAAACACAGAAGTTATAAAACTGAAACAACCAGTATAAAAATGTCCATCAATTCTAGTAGTTAAAATAACACTTCAATCCCTACTAACTGAGATAGGAAGATTTGAAATAAAAAAGATAAAGTTACTTAGTGATAGTCAATCAGCTGTTGGAATTATTGATCTCGGCTGGGAAAATAAGACACACAAATTCCTGTCAACAGAGATACTCTAGTCGAAGCTTGAATTAGCTTACGTTACTGTTAATTTTGACTCCAGGTCATGCTGGCATAAAAGGGAATGACATTGCTGACAGACTTGCAAAAGAAGCAGCAAAAGAAGCTGAGGAAATGGAAACAGAAGATTCAAGATTCACTCATTGTAACAAGTCAAAGTGACATTCGCCACTCAGCTAGAGAATCAGTCTGCATTAAACGGCAGAGAAGGTGGGAAATTGTTGAAACTGGCAGGAATCTCTATGGACTCAAGCCTCAAGTCCATCCCAAAAAAATTAACTTCCGTGGCTTGAGCAACCAAAGACAGTTACTTCAACTACAAAGTGGATATTGCCTCAATGATTATTTGAACAAGATTGGGGCTAAAAACACAAGTCTGTGTAATTGTGGAGAAGTGGAAACAGTAACACATTTCATAGAGGACTGTACCCTGTACTAGACATCAAGAGAAAACCTGAAGAAAGAAATATTTTTAAAGACATGAATAAGTGTATTTACAAAAGAACTATTGCTGTCAGACATACAAGAAGACCAATTCAAAGACCATAGACAAGAGTTGTCAAACATTGCAAATGAATTCGTCAAAATATGATAAACAAGATCAACAAGGAAAGGCGGCGTTCAATGAACGCAACCCCCATATGACCAAGCAACAAGAACCAGTGGCAAGGAGCCCAGGCGGACCCCAAGCAAAAACAGGTTAGGGCAAAGACAGAGCACGGACAGGTTAATCACTAAATGATAAATAATTTGTAAATGATTAGAAATTCAAATAAATTCAAAACAAATAAATGATTGAATAATAGGCCCACAAAGTCAAAGGGGAAGGGGACAGGAGACCGGGGGTAGGGGGGAGGTTAATCAAAGAAATAAAAACTAGGGGTAATGGGGAAGATACTTAACGTAGACGAGAAAACAACAAGGGACACAAGCAAAAGTGTCACCAAAACAGTATGAAACAACATAGACATACATCTGAGGAAATCCAAAAGATTTTTTTTATCCAAAAGATTTTTTTATGTCATTAGATTCTATTTGATAATATTCATTAATTGTTACCCTACTTGAGAGTTTTACCGTAATCGAAAATACCAGAGTTTAAATACCGGAGTGACAACACGGCCAATACCAAGGCTTTGAACACGAATCTGTTTTAGAATTATATGGAAACAAATAAGATCTATGCGAAGACAAAAAAAAATATCAAAATTCAAAGACATGAATGGTGTGACATTGGTGTCCTTCCACCTTTGCCATTTCCTTGTAGCAGAAAATTGCATACAAAGTAGACATGTTACAATAATATCATGTATTAATTTATACATCTGTAAACATTAACATAAAGCATCAGTTATATAAGTGATTTGACTTACATATTTCATTCGTAGACGCAGTAAGGAAATTCTTAAGTCATTTATCAGGTTAGTCATCTTGAAAATACAACTGTTGTCAAGACGTCATAAATATTGTGATGTCACAAGGAAATAACATCCAATAGGATCGCTTGACACTTTGCCTACCGTAGCAACAGCGTATGAATATATAACAAATATTCTGATTGGTTGGTCAAAACAAATTTTTTTTTTTATTTATTTGAAATTTGTATTGATATTTTTTTTATTCATTCCTTCCATTACACAGACTAACAAGTCACCTCATAAAACGGTGCTTAAAATGATGGCGATGAAAATGATGAAGTGGATGATCACAGACACAGGAACTTGAAATTCTATCAATATTAATGATAATATCCAAAATATACCCCCTATACTATATAAATAATACGTATTTAAATTTCGTATATTTACGAAAGTAAAACTTTTTTTAAGTAATGAAAATGATAAACAAGTGAATAATATGTTTATTTATTATTAAATTGATGTGTATCTTATGATAAGGTTTTGAAACATGTTTATGTGTACTTGATATGTTTTAGTTTAAAAGAAACTTTTTTCATTTTGTTTGTGTACAATGTACTTGTCTTATTATATTGAAAAATGTGTTTTGATTATTGAAAATTGTCATTAAGTTTAACTTCTTTATAATTCATTTATCATTATGTAAGTTAATTAGTGTAATAATTTTACAGAAAATGGACCCCATTGGAAATAAGCTTTTAGCTTAATGGGCAATCCTAGGGTTACATAGAACATACTTATTGATTAATCGTATAATTATTTTTGTGCATTTATATGTGTGTTTTTATTTATATTCAAGTTGATATCTGTGATAAAATTGTATGTGTATACATGTATGTCTATTCCCTGAATAAATCGATACGATACGATATACAGTATAAATAAACACAGTGTTTATTTATACTGTATAGGAGGTATATTTTGGATATTATCATTAATATTGTCATTATTGATAGAATTTCAAGTTCCTGTGGGATGATGATGCCAAATTAAAGTAGATTCTAATTATAAAGTTGTAAAAAATCTGTATTAATCCTTATTTTTAGGTTCACAAAATGGAATTTGATATAAGATTTATTGGAAACAAAGAAGATCTAGGCGAAGACAATAAAAATCAGAATTCAAATTTATAAATGCAATGACATGAATGTTCCCCGACCCCTAGTCCAACTAATTAGACTTGTCAAAGAGACACCGAGATAATTTTGGACGGGCGCTGTCTTTTTGACAGTAAGAAAAAAAAGTCTGTAAAATGGGTCAAACCGTTCACGCCAAATTAATTAGGCTACCCGACCCCGTTCTTATTTCAATATTTGTCGTTAGCCTACTGTGTAGCTGCTAGCAGATAATTGCATACAAAGTTGACATGTAACAATAATACCATGTATTAATTTATACAGATATGGGCACTTAAAAGTAAAGCATCAGTTATATAAGTGATTTTACTTACATATTTCATGCGCAGACGTTGTAGGGAAAATCTTAAATCATTTATCACGCTTGCCATCTTGAAAATACAGCTGTTGTCAAGACGTCATCAATATTGTGACGTCACAAGGAAGCGACATCCAATAGGATCTCTTGACACATTGCCAATCCTACCAACAGTGTATGGATATATACCAACTAATTTCATTGGATGTTAAATTAAAAAAATCAATTATTAATTTGTTAAATAATTAATCTATTTGAAGTCAAGTCAATAAAAATATTTTAAATGTGTATAAAAAATGCTGATCAATGATGCTGATGACGATGAACAATAGACTACGTATATCACGTAAATTTCTAAATTAGGCCTTATTATGATAGACTATAATAATCAGAAACGTGTACATCATGTAAATTACCGTTAGGCCTTATAATAATAGACTATAACAATCAGGATCGAACGTGTACATCACGTAAATAACTAAATTAGGCCTTATTATAACAGACCATAATAATCAGGAACGTGTACATCACGTAAATTACTGTAGTTAAAAAAAATCCCACGGTAATTTTACTCAGAAAAGAGGCTATTTATACAATCCACAGTAATATTTGTCGTAATTGTCTAAGTCAATATGACAATGCCATATATAAATATTTATGTATATTTTTATTTTCATAATCTATTTTACTGTCCCCCTGAAAAACTTAGTTCTAAGTTAAACCCACATACTGTTTGAAACTTATATTGATAATATGTCATGTTGTTACTATTGTAAACTGACTGGAAAATAAAAGTGATTGTTGTTGTTGTTGTTGTTGTTGTAAGGCCTTATTATAATGGACTATAATAATCAAGAACGTGTACATTATGTAAATTACTAAATTAGGCCTTATTTTAATAGACTATTGTAATCCGGAACGTGTGTATCATGTAGATTACTGTTACGTATTATATTAATAGACTATAATAATCAGGAACGCGTATATATATATATATATATATATATATATATATATATATATATATATATATATATATATATATATATATATATATATATATATATATATATATATATATATCATAATTATGTTAATAACTAAACTAGGCCTTTCTATGATAGACTATAATAATCAGGAACGTGCACATCATGTTAATTACTGTTAGGCCTTATTATAATAGAGTATAATAATCAGGAACGTGTACATTATGTAAATTACTGTTAGGCCTTATTATAATAGAGTATGATAATCAAGAACGTGTACATCTCGTAAATTACTAAATTAGGCCTTATAATGATATCACGTAAATTACTAAATTAGGCCTTATTATAATAGACTATAATAACCAAGAACGTGTACATCATGTAAATTACTATAAATTAGACCATATTATAATAGACTACAATAATCATGCAGGAATGTGTACATCATGTAAATCATACTAAATGACTATGACTTAATTAGGCCTTATTATAATAGACAATAATAATCAAGAACGTGTACACCATGTACATTACTAATTTAGGGCTTATTATAATAGACTATAATTATTAGGAACGTGTACATCATGTAAATTAATTACTAAATTATAGGCCTTATTATAATATATAGACTATAATAATCAAGAACGTGTACATCATGTAAATTACTAAATTAGGCCTTTTATTCCCTAAATCAGCCAGTCGGGAAACGGACAAAAGCTCTCCTAGACAAAAGCTCTCCCGTCCAAAAATGACCAGGCGGACAAAAGCCCTCCCGTAAAAATGACAGGGCAGACATAAGCTTGCCCTCCCGTGAAAATGACTTGGCGTACAAAATCCCTCCCGTGAAATCAACAAGGCGGACACAAGCCCTCCCGTACCAAAAAATATATATGACTGTTAAATACCTATTTTTTAATGCTCTCAACTTTAAAATTGTAACATCTATATTTGTTGTTGTTTTCAATTGGCCTAAGTTTATGTATGTGTATGAGCTAGACCAACCTTTTAGTCACACTATACCTTTCTGAAATGTAACTTTGTACAATTATGCCGTTAAAAACAAAGTCACATTTAAAAGTAATTGACTCATTACAAGGTACACACTTACTAAATTAGGCCTTATTAGCCTTTTTCGGTGGAAAATTCTTTCGCTTCGAATCTGGTGACGCGCGTTTCAGGTGAAGTACGGGACGAAACATCATGAAATAAAATCCTGTGTGCAAGGAAATTGTTGAGAAGGTTGTTATATGTACTTTTACATTAGAACATCACGTATTTCAGAGAAAAAAGGGAAACCCTATTTTTTTGGCTGCATCCGCCATCTTGTTTGTTTGAGTAACGAACGGCGTGATTCTACCCCTTGTATATTGTGTAGTAACATAATGCTGGGAATACCGTAAGAATAAATGAGACAAGGGGAGATTGGATGAAAATGGAATGTTTTAAGCATGAAAACTGTATTTTCTTAAGAAAATGAAAAATTTCACGAGTCTTGTAATTAGTTCCGGGTTCCATAACTTTAAATGTTGCATTTATTTTGACGTTGTGCGAAGAGGTCTAGCAATACCATAAACAAGTTCGCTGAGGTCTCTGTAGCTAAAGTCTCAATGATAATTTCTGGCTGGGATCAGGGGCCCGTCTTATCAACGATCGTTCGACCGTTTTTATCGTACTATCGACCTACGATTTTGGTGTTGTCTTATCAAACGTCGGAGACTTCCTTAATCGAAGATTTTCGTAACAAATCTTTTTGAAAGACCCTGCTTGGATATTTTCAAAAAAAAATAATAAAAAAAGTGTATGGCAGTCCTGTGATCAGCAGAACATTGGGGTACTAGTAATTCTCTTTGAATTCATTTTGCAAAGATGAAAGGGTTGGCTAGATATCAAGATCATTTTCATGTTTCAGGCATTTCATTGTCTAAAAAATCACATCTTTAGCACAGGGACCCAGCACAGTGTTGGGATAGTGTTGTTTCTTTGGTTTTGATTTATCGATTTATTGCGGGTTGGTACAATGACATGGTTTGAAATTGCGTTTTTACTCGTAGAAAATCGAGTGGGGACAGGTTAATTACGCGGTCGTGTCCGACCTAGCAAAAATACGATATATTCTATCCGAAATATCGGGGTTTTTTTTGGTTCATAAACGGTATAAGTGGGGACAATTATGTTATTGTCAACGTCTAGTGATGTCATTTAGCTGCAATTTGATTTGTAGCTTTATATGATTTACGTAAGAATGACTTTGCAATTTTGACTTATAAATAATACTGGACTAGTGGCATACATGGCCGATTTGGCGAATTCAACCCCTTGTCTATATATTATATATACAGTATATATTTTTTTCTAGAATTACTTTTTTACACTGTCCGAACACTGTGCTGGGTCCCTGTGATCTTTAGCACGAAAAGTCAATTTTAGGGTACGATTATAGGGACTATTACTCTATGGGAAATTCAATACTTAAGTCTGACCTTACAGTATTTTTGTTGGTTGTATCGAAGTAGCAGGGAACCAGACAAACTCCTAGGAGCGGTTACTTCCCTTTATCAGGGGTATAGATGGATACCGAAAATAAGCTATTTTCGCGAAAATAAGATAGCGGCTACGAAAATAAGATTTATTTTTGAAATAGTGCATTTATCTGTTTGAATAATTATGTAAGTTATATATTTATGCATTCATTGAATGATTTTACAGCAAATTAAAATTTCAGAACAAAAAAAAATTTTAATAAGTGAAGTTTGAGCCGAAAATACTCTCACGAAAATAGTTCAAATTGACGTGTAAAGCGAAAATAAGATCGGGTCTACGAAAATAAGATTTATATTTGATATAATGTATTTAAAGCGTTTTTTTTTGTTATCAATAATTGATTTAAAAAATTATTTTCATACAGATTTTATGTTTGCAGAGATCTTATTTTCGTGCAGATATATCAATTCATACAGTAATTTTTTACAGATCTTATTTTCGTATAGATCACATTTTCAATAGGATCTAATTTTCGTACATATAGTATTTTCATGCAGGTATTTTTTTTAAACATAGCTCATTTTCGTATATATATCTTATTTTGGCAAAAAACATATTCATAAAAAATTCATACAGGTTTTATTGTTTACAGATCTTATTTTCGTATAGATCATCATGATTTTCAATTGGATCTTATTTTCGTGCAAGTATAAGTATTTTCATACATATATTATTTTCATACAGGTATTATTTACTAAGAGGTCTTATTTTCGTATAACCGTATTTTCGTATGTACATACTAGTCTTACAGATCTTATTTTCGTAGAGTACACTATAGATTTTATTTTCGTACATATTCTATATACAGTAGATCTTATTCTTGTAGTAGTTGTTTCTGGGTTATTTTTCGCACTGGTTAATTCTTGCTTTTATTTTGATGCTTTTTCACTCCACTACCTTTTCTTGTTTTGTAAGAGAAGATTTACTTTTGCAATTAATACAATTTTATAAGGTATGATCTTATTTTCGTAGTGGCCATTTGGGTTATTTTCGGAATGTCAGACGTTTCACTCCCAAGACATTTCACTATTGAGACGTTTCACTCCCAAGACGGTTCACACCTAGACGTTTCACTCCCAATTTGTCAATTGTATGGACGTTTCACTCCCATTTTTTAGATATTTTTTAGGAAAGTTAACAAATTTATTTCCATTTTTAATAGCCATATCAGGATTGATTATTTATATTGATGTATGTTTTTCTGCTGTAGATAAGCAATTAAAGTTCTGTAATATACATTTTTTTATTTTTGTTGCATTGAAAAATGGTTTAATAGGTGATGTTGGTTACTCAAAATAAAACACACAATAATTTATTGTTAAAAAGGAATTCATACTAAGTAATTTATATAAACTATAATATAAACTCTTGAGAATAATATTGTCATTAGTACTAGTAAAAAATAAGTCACATGGAAATAATGTCATTAACTTGATATCAATTATTTTTATCAAAAAAATTATTGTTAAAATAATAAAAAATATCAATTATATAGTAATAGTATTATAAAATTAAAATATTTGTTATTTCATGTAAGTCTTAAACAATAATATGCAAAAGATTTGTATAAAATTAATTATTCTTTTGAATTTTTCTTTATCAATTTATTAAAAAGTAGCCATTAAACAAACGTAGGTAATTGTGGTGTTCACAGTAATCTCATCACCTTATTAGTTGTATAAACACTGAGACCAACAACTAACAGTTTGACATCACTATTAAATCAGTTGTATAAACACTGCACTTTAGCATCAACAGTTTACTAATCAGTTGTTTATTGGACCATAAAAATTGTTTATAGATGACATCCAATTAAAACAAAAGTCTTGGAAACAGAAACTTCTCCATTATAAGTTTTGTTTATATAACAAATAAAAATAATATTTAATCCGATATATACATAAATTATTTTAGAAAATTTGCAGAATGCAAATATATACTTAATGCAAAGAAAATCACCTATGAATTCTTATCATTAACAGCTGTAAAGATAATACAATTATATCCAGTCTCCAACATATATCCCCCTCCCCACAAAAAAAATAATTAAAAAAAAAAGAAAAAAAAAGAGAAGAAGAACATGAATCACAATGTATATAAATTTTAATATGTTTTCATGCAACTTCTCTGATATTTAATATCATTATTCTTTAATATCATCAGTTTTATTATGATTTAAGATGGCTCACGTTATGAAAGACAATTTTTCTTTTATATTGAATTTTAGTCACAAAATAATGATTTTACGTGACAAATATTGAAAAAGTCCCAATGCTTTTATTTTAATTTTATCTAAAGGCATTTCTGATTGCAATGGCCATTAAGTTAAATTACTTATCTATATAGGTACTGCTTGACAAAGGTTTAAACCTTCTACATATACGTACATAATACAGGGTCTAAAATTTCAGAATTTTGTCTATAAAATATAATTTACTGTTTAAAAAGTATTTATGAAAATGTAATTTACTGTTTAAAAAGTATTTATGATAACGAAATAATGCATTCTTACCTGTTCCACATGTACGATAATAAATATAGAAACAGGGATAACAATTATGATACACAAACTTAAGTACGGAGTAAACAGTCATTAACAAAAAGTGTAATTAATTTTTATTAAATACAAAGTCTATTTATTTTAGTATATCATCAGTCTTAGAAAAATTTTGGTATAAAAAGGGAGTGAAACGTCTTCAAGACATTTCACTCCCTTTTGGGAGTGAAACGTCTTGGTGTGAACCGTCTTGGTGTGAACCGTCTCAATAGTGAAACGTCTGTCTACCTTATTTTCGCATGCCTTCTTTCTATACTATTTGGGATATTTACCAAATTTACCGAACAAACGTTTAATATTTCATTACAAAACATTTCATTTTATATAATTTCATTCATACAAATCATTTAATAACAACAAAAATGCATTTTTAATGCATTATATTATATCATATTTTCGTAGACCCGATCTTATTTTCGCTCACACGGCGATTTGAGCTATATTCGTGCTATGTATTTTCGGCTCAAAATGCACTTTTTTAGATATTTTTTTGGTTCTGAAATTTCAATTTGCTGTAAAATCACCCAAAGAATGCATAAATATATAACTTACATAATTATTTAAACAGATAAATGCACTATTTCAAAAATAAATCTTATTTTCGTAGCGAGATCTTATTTTCGCGAAAATAGCTTATTTTCGGTATCCATCTATACCGCTTTATCAGTAGGTAGCACTCCACACTAAATTTCAAGTTTCTGCCGTCAATGTCCTACAAGCAATATGTCTGATAAATCTGATCCCAAACTACACAACCTGGAAAAAGAAAACACATTTTGTTAAGAACATATATGTCATACCATTGCAAATCTGTAATGAAATCATCCCATGTTCAACAGTCAGGCAGTTAAAAAAATTCCAATTCATTCCGTAAAAGCCAAAAATCTATAGTGGTCCGAGACCCAAAACAACATTTTTCATCCCTCCGGCAAAAAATACCTGCAAATATACGGTCTACAAAAACTCTGTCACTGCTTTAGCAACTCCCTATGCATGCAAAATATCACAAAGAAATAGGTGCTTGGCCTTGTAGATTTTTTGCTATTGCTGAAAGTTTGTACCCCCTGTAAAATTACTTGTTTTCACCGAGCATGCTGTTTAAAAGCAATGTTTACAAACAATGGCGACCTTGACATCAATAATTATCAGCATGTGATTTCTAATCATGTTTTCGAATTTGCCAATGATCATATTACATGTCACAAAAACAAATTTCATGCTAAAAATGCATTTTAAAGACAACCAGTCATTTAAATCCACAATAGTCACTATATCCATGAAATCCTCCCTGGCCATTCGAAGCTGCGGCTTCATTTAGTGTGGTGTGCTGCCTTAAGGAGCACCTTAACATTGATTGCTGAACTTTATACAGACTTTTTCTGCAAATTTATGCATATTTCAAGAAATAAAATGATTTAATTTTGCTAGGAATTGTTTGCTTTTCTTTATATGTGCCTTTAATGAACTATACCGTTTACCCCATTTTCAGCCCTCGGCACGCTGTTTTTAGTACATGTTGAAAAAGAAAGAATTCCCAATGTAAGGTGTAGAAAAAATGGGTTCCATACTATCTATACAACTAATTTGCACAAATATATCCTTATGTCATATGATATGGAAGAAATATTCAACAAATTGCCATACAGTTTAAGAATAAACTGGCTTCATGTGACACTGTGGGGGGGGGGGGGGGCACAAAATATATCAGATATGTTCCTGCCAGACACTAATATATGCTATTTTTTTCAGTCCTACACAGTAGAAAATCTATTTGGCATGCACAATGTTCATATAGGTTTATGTGTAAAGTCAAAAACAAAGAGACAAAGCATTTGTCAGGGCCTTCACAGCATTATAGACATCACAATGTGGGTCTCCTAGGGAATCGAAATTCACCAAGTGACAGTGCAAAAACCAAATTTTCCGACTAGTCGATCTTGCTCGCTCAGCTTTAAAATGGTCACAATCTCACCAGAAAACCTAGATTATATATCCACTTGCCCTTAAAAGTGATTTCCAGCAAAAATTTACCTCCATACAATGATTTTGCATCACTCGAAACACTTCGGATGGCCATGTTTCACACATACAGCTGAAATTCATTAAATGCATGCCTTTTTCCTAAATTTAAAGTCACAAAAAGCAGGAAAACAACATCTAATTTAACCTTCATAGCTCTATATGTGAAAATTAGCATTCTTCTAAAGCTGTATCTCCTAGAATAAGTAGGTGTAATCAACACAGCAGACACAGCACCTTTAATACATTTCACAAAGAATTTCTGGAATTTGAGTTACCTCCCCTTTTTAAAGCTGACTTTCATACACTGTGTTTAATATTATTATGAAATTTCATCATCATTGTAGTCAGTGTGTATTCTAGAGTATTTACACAAAGTTTAATAAGAAAAAACAAGCATTGAAAAAATTTCATTTTACCTTAAGGTAGCACTCCACACTAAATTTCAAGTTTCTGCCGTCAATGTCCTACAAGCAATATGTCTGATAAATCTGATCCCAAACTACACAACCTGGAAAAAGAAAACACATTTTGTTAAGAACATATATGTCATACCATTGCAAATCTGTAATGAAATCATCCCATGTTCAACAGTCAGGCAGTTAAAAAAATTCCAATTCATTCCGTAAAAGCCAAAAATCTATAGTGGTCCGAGACCCAAAACAACATTTTTCATCCCTCCGGCAAAAAATACCTGCAAATATACGGTCTACAAAAACTCTGTCACTGCTTTAGCAACTCCCTATGCATGCAAAATATCACAAAGAAATAGGTGCTTGGCCTTGTAGATTTTTTGCTATTGCTGAAAGTTTGTACCCCCCTGTAAAATTACTTGTTTTCACCGAGCATGCTGTTTAAAAGCAATGTTTACAAACAATGGCGACCTTGACATCAATAATTATCAGCATGTGATTTCTAATCATGTTTTCGAATTTGCCAATGATCATATTACATGTCACAAAAACAAATTTCATGCTAAAAATGCATTTTAAAGACAACCAGTCATTTAAATCCACAATAGTCACTATATCCATGAAATCCTCCCTGGCCATTCGAAGCTGCGACTTCATTTAGTGTGGTGTGCTGCCTTCGTATTCCCAAGAAAGAAGGGGAGATCACTGCGTTAGACTGGGAACCAGGCTGCAGCAGCCACTGTATTGAAATTGGTTTACGTGTTCTCATTTTTCAAAAGAAAGGCTTTAATAACTGTTAGTATGCATTCAATTCATATTCTGCACCAACGTATTTTATAACAAAATGAATAATTCGTTTTAACATCGACTGAAATGATAATGTTACATTATTCGACCGGCCAGTATTCACCCCGCTGATGATTCGTCCCATAACTTTTCGCCCATTTTATGACGATTCGCCCCGCTTTATAGTTAACGTATTTTGATTCATTCTGCCTTGGCATGTACGGAAGTTATCAGTTCCTCCAGAAAGTGTACCCATCTTGTACTGGTTGAACTGTGCTCTGGTAAGCCTATATGAATTATGATAATATGAAATTAGGCATAGCCTATGAACGGGGAATTAAGTCAGTTAAAAAATCATTTATTTTTCCATTTTAAATGTGTCATTCGGTATTTCATGCACCACTTCCGATTCACTCGGAACACTCAATGATTATTATCAATCCGAAAAGTTGCGATTGCCGTTATTGGAATATCTCACATTTTATCATTGAGTTACATTGAAAATGGCGGCGCCCAACTAGAACTGACACTGAAAATTTCATTGATAGGTATGGAATTCTATATATTTTTCAATTGATTTTTATTTGATTTCCTTTTAAATATACACGTGTAGTCTATAGCTGGGCAAGCCAAAGCCCGGGCCCGCTTCGTGGTCCCGGCCTTTGACTTCCCCGTATTATGGGTTCTATTCACGAATTCGAAAACCTAGCTAAACGCCGTTTTCCGGTACTTTCTGTACATAGCTCTGGGGAATTCACATAATGGAGTGTAATAACGAACTTGAGGTGTTTTTGGACTTTTTTCATTAAAGTGAAATAATTCAAATATTTCTTTGTTAGAAAACAATTAAATATCATTTTATGAATAATTGCATACAAAAAATAAAGTAAATACACAAGTTTTCGCAGAAAATAACCTTATTTATTATGGAAGATTCCACTACGGCTGTTTTTATTTGATTGATTTTCATTATAAACAATTTTATTTTTTGAAAAATTTGCAATAGATATTAAAGGAATATTGATAAATTTCAAATACATTAATTTTTTTCACCTTAAACGGTAAAATAATGATAAAAAATAGAAATATCATGTAACTGTGTTATGTACTTCATTTGGTGTAATTCCCAAGAGCTAAATCCGCAAGGTACCGCCAGGGCCAAAACACCAATTTTGGGGAAGGGGCCTCAGCCTTTTTCTTGGGGAAAAAAATTCGTGATTTTGGCATACTTTGGGAAAAGGGGTTGCAAATTTAACACAAACTTTTAACAAGTTTTTCAAAATAGACAAGCAAAAAGCACTGGGCAATACAAATATGGCAGTAAAAAACCTTAATTCAACCCCATCATTTAATTTTTTCTAAATTCTATGGGAAATTTTAAAAGACTGGGGAATTTTGAGGACCAAACTGGGGAAAAAAAGAGGCTAGTTTGGTTAGGGAAGCAGCCTATATTCGGCCTCTACAAAGAAGGGTTTTTAGGCCCTGACCAGAAAACGGTGTTTAGCTAGGTTTTAGAAAAGGTCAATGTAGCCAAACAATTGACAGTTCCGAACTAGCAGACAACAGGTTATTCTTATCAGTATAATTGCAAATAAAGATAATAGGTTGCGTGTCTCACTGTATGAATTATATGTAAAATGGTCACCGTCTGACTTGTTGTAGGTTTGAAGGTAAATTGAAATGCCTTAAGTAGTGTCAAACGAATCGATGTGTTGAAATATATACTGAGATGAAGCTAAAGATCACAAGCTTTTCATTGGTTTAATAAATTTTAAAATCGGACATTAAATGGCCCCAAACTAGTTGTTTAAAAGGGGATAAATTTGTATTGTTTTAACTTTTACCATGAGAGATATCAATTTTACTCGAAGATAGGGAAACATAAACAACTGGTATTTTTTCACATGATATACCTTGGTTATTTAGAGACTGTCAATGGGTGTATTGTACGCTTTCGGGCTTTTTATTAAAACATGGCACAACTGTATGACAAGGAACATAACCAATTGGTTTACATGTGTCTAGAGTTAGAGCCCCTTCTTCTGTTCTTCACTTTATAACTTATTTAGGAAGTACCCAAACTTTTGTGTAATTTTAACTTTTATATTTATATCAAGAAGTAAAGTGCCATGCATTGTTACTGCATGAGGTACTCCTGTTCATACAAGGGATGCAATAATAAAACAACAGTAGGAATGTCCAAAACTACAAAATATATATTAACTAACACACTTGAAATAAATTGTATTTAATCAATTTAATGTCATGTTATTTTATATCACATTTTTTAGAGAAAATTTTTTTTTTCCTATTAAGTCATATATACATGTAGTTTCACTGTGTGTATCCGTATCAGTACTCTCTTTTCTAAATCTACATAAACGGTACTTTTTTTGTGTGACATAACATGATATGAAATAATATTTTTTTAGTTTATTGTGGAGTTGACATTATTGAAAAAAAAAAACATTACAAAAAAGACATAGCTAAAACATTCTAGTCTACTGTGGTATACTTCTTTTTCCACACAAGGCCATCCTTAAAAAAATGTTTGTTTGCAGTAATGCGACCGACTCACAAAATTTGCCCCTACTCAAAATTTTTTTTCATGGTCTGGATAAAAAAAAAAATTTTTGAATCAGAAAATTATGCCTTGTGCTTTGTGTTTGTACTTTTAAAGGTTAATAGAAGAAATAAAATATAGGTCTTATTAAATTAGAATTCAGTTATCAATTTATTAATTGTTACCAGATTATCAAAGCATTTATTTTCCAGCATTTTGAAATTCCATGTTTATTTGGGAGTACAGTTCAATAAAAAAAAAAAAATCTACCTACCTACCCACCTTGAGAATTCTGGGGCGGGTTACTGCAAACAAACCTTTTTTTAAGGATGGCCCAACTTACCACCTTTAAAGCAGCATGCCTCAAGATGAGCAAAAATATTTTGATAAATTCAAACTAAAATAAATGTATCCTAAGAGTTAAGGAAAAGTAGAAAGATTCAAGATTCAAGTAATAATTTAGATGTAATGGGCAATTAATGTTGTTTTTTTCATTATGTGTAACTATATTTATACTGTGTTACTAACGCAGTAAGGGCAATTTTTGCATATTTTGACAACCTTTTGTAATTAACATGGGTTGTATGTGCCATTGGTAATCTAATGTATAAATTGGCTTTTGCTTTCTTTTGGTTAATATACAATATTATGCTATTAATTACATTTTCAAAATTTTCATGAAAATAAGCATTAATCTGGAGGCGTGCTGCTTTAATATGTTCACTGGATTGCTGTCCATCCTTGATTTGTTTTCGGCAAAGAATGATCTGTGCATGTACAAAGAGGCTACCATATCTATAGATTTTGCACCTTGATTGATTGATTAATTGATTTTCTTTAGACTGGGGGGTCAAGGATAACCTACGAAAGTGCAAGCACTTATTTCCAGTAGGGTCCTTACCTCACCAGTACTTATAGTATAATACGTATTATTATAGACGTTTAAATATAAAAAAATTTTAAAACAGCTTTTTGATATATATGATCAGTACATGACTGCTGGGATTGACAAATATACATTTTATTAGCTCACCTGTCACAAATTTAAGTGACAGGGTGAGCTTTTGTGATCGCTTTTCGTCCGGCGTCCGGCCGTCTGTAAACTTTTACTTTAAATGACATCTCCTCATAAACCACTAAGCCAATTTCATCCAAACTTCACAGGAATGTTCCTTTGGTGGTCACCTTTAAAAATTGTTCAAAGAATTTAATTCCATGCAGAACTCTGGTTGCCATGGCAACCGAAAGAAAAAACTTTAAATATCTTCTTTTAAAAAACCCAAAGAGCTAGAGCTTAGATATTTGGCATGAAACATCTTCTAGTAAGTGTCTACCAAGTATGTTCAAATAAAAGCCCTGGGGTCAAAATTGGCCCCGCCCCAGGGGGTCATTGATTTTCCCAATATGCATATAGTATAAACTTAAAAAATCTTCTTTTAAAGAACCCAAAGAGCTAGAGCTAAGATATTTAGCATGAAACATCTTCTAATGAGTGTCTACAAAGTTTGTTCAAATAAAAGCCCTGGGGTCAAAATTGGCCCCACCCTGGGGGTCATTGATTTTCCTTATATGTGTATACTTCGCGGTCGTCCGTCCGTCTGTCTGTCCGTCCGCACTCACAGGAGAGTAATTTTGTGGCTAGAGGGACAATAGGTAACTGTTCTTTCTCTTTGATGTCATTCATTCCGTAATGCTTTTATGTGGCTATTTTCTTTTGTGTGGCTAAAAAGAACAATAGAGAGAACAATAGAGTAGCCACATAATTACTCTCCTGTTAGAACTTCCGTCTGTCTGTCCATCACAAAACTTGTCCGGACTACTCCTCATAAACTACTGGTGCAATTTCATCCAAACTTTACAGGAATGATCAGTACCAAGTCTAGTTGTGCATATTGTCAGCATTTTCCGGTTCAATGATTTTTGTCAGAGTTATGGCCCTTTAATAATTTTAATTTTAAAAGTTTGTCCGGACTACTTCTCTTATACCACTTATGCAATTTCAATGAAACTTTACAGGATTGATCTGTAGCTCAAGTCCTTGCGCATATTGCACGGGTTTTCCCGTTGAATGATTTTTGGCAGAGTTATGGCCCTTCAATAAAAAGGTGTTTTTTCTGTGTGTGCCAGATACACAAAAGCTTGTCCGGACTAACTCCTCATAAACTACTGGTGCAAATTCATCCAAACTGTACAGGAATGATCAGTACCAAGTCTAGTTGTGCATATTGTCAGCATTTTCCGGTTCAATGATTTTTGTCAGAGTTATGGCCCTTAAATAATTTTTATTTTTTAAAGTTTGTCCGGACTACTTTCTTATACCACTAATACAATTTCAATGAAACTTTACATGATTGATCTGTAGCTCAAGTCCTTGCACATATTGCACGGGTTTTCCGGTTGAATGATTTTTGGCCGAGTTATGGCCCTTTGAAAAAAGGTGTTTTTTTCTGTGTGTTGCCAGATACACAAAAGCTTGTCCGGACTACTCCTCATAAACTACTGGTGCAATTTTATCCAAACTTTACAGGAATGATCAGTACCAAGTCTAGTTGTGCACTGTCCGTCTGTCTGTCCGTCTGTCACAAAACTTGTCCCAACATGAAATTGGCCATCATGAGGCGACACATGTGATCACTGATCGCTCTTGTTATTATGTATATACAGTAAGTGGAAAATGAACTTCAAAATGTTTTTATTTTTAGTGGTTGAAAAGTTTATTTTTAGTGGTTGTAATGAAGTTTCCAATGTTTTCAAAACTTTATTACAAGTAAAAAAAGATCTTATAAGTATTCATGAATATTGACATAAAAAAAAACAGTTTGAATTCATTTGTTGCTACTGATAATAAAATCTGAAAGTTTAAACTTTTTTAGTATACTTTTATTTTTCAGCTTATACAAATAGCAGACAGTCATTTATTGACAAGAACAAATTGTCAAGATTTTTCAAGATTTTATTATTCACTCAAAACACAATACAATTGTTAATATGAGGTAAATAACAAATTACAAATGTTTACGAGGTAAATAGTATGTAACTCGCGCATCTCACAATATTCTTTTAACATAGACAGAAGGAAATTTAACATTCACACAAAATAAAAGTTAAACAAATTTTTTTAAATATATTTATCAAAATTTAACATAATATTTAGGTTAATATTTTTCTAAGACTATTTTTATAAACATGTAAAGTTTTTTTTATTTAATTTGAGAGAGGTCAGTGTTCATTAATTCATCCAACTTTCTCACTGTATTTATTTAGTATGTTTTTTTTATAATTTCCCTTTTCTTTATTATGAAAATAGCATAAAATATATTAAATATTTTTCGCCTTTTGCAAATAGCGCTTGCGCTTTTCTGATTTAATGACCAGGTTGTGATACTAATCTAACTTGAGTCTTTGATCCTTTTTAAGTATATTTCAAAAATAGCAACATAGGTTTACTAGTAACTGTCTACCTGTACATTAGTTATCTTTAACCTTTACGCTGCCAGAGGGTTATTTATGTATTGATCACCTATTTGCCAGAAGTGAGAAGATTTTCTAAGAAATTACTTTATTATAAATTAATATTATTATGATTATTTATTATTAGTATTATAATAATTATAAATGTTTCCAAATCTGCTAGTATAATAATAATTATTGGCGATGGTATAATTATCTATATATTTATTATGATGATTATTATTATTATTATAATTATTATTATTATTATAGAAACAGCAAAAGCCGTCCATATGGCAAATACGCCGAAAATAATAGGGACGGCATATGCCGTCCCTATGGCAGTGAAAGGGTTAATAAAAAGTTAAATTTTTATTTTTATTAGGAGAGGGGAGTTTAATAGGAATTTTACGGTACTTTAAAATTATATGACTTACAGATAAATGTTAAATTATTGTAGCCTTTGGCAATATGTAGTTATTTGCATATTCTTACAAGTTTTGTTAAATTGGTGAATTAAATATTTATTAGTGTTACTAATAATATGTGTTTCATTTTGCAGGTTGATTTTTATCATTTGCATAAAGTATGTCAAGGGACTCCAAAAAGCTTAGAACAGAAAGTCACCTACGACAGATTCTTGGATTAAGGGACATTACCTACATTGAAATGGGAGATAATTTAGAAACAGTTGACAAGAAAAAGGAAATGAAAATATTTTTTGTGGATTTAACTTATTTTTCAAGTACTGCACAATTTTTGATACTGTGTTCAGCGACATTTTTCTTTTATCTCATCTATGGATATTTTCAGGTAATACTGTGCTTTGATGTTTAATTGATTACTATCCTTCGCCATTCCCTTCTTTGAAATACAGAAAATGTCAATGTTATTTTTTTGCAAACTCACAGTGTTCAGAATAGGAATCCTAATTCACAAAAGGGTTCAGAAAGTAATGTTATTATTATTACATCTCACAAAGATATCAAAACAATTTTGCTCGGCACAACATTTTCCGATATTATGGGGTTTGTATCATTAATCGTTAAGAAAGCAAATTCACATTCTCTCCTATTTTGTACATTAGATTATTAACATGCTTCATTCAAGTGGTTTTTTCATAAGGGGGTGGATTACCTATTCAAAGAAGTTTGCTTGTTTTGCTACGAAATACTGAGAATAGTTGAGCAAGTTGTCCTACTAGCAGCTCTTGTCTTATATATATTCCAGGAATTAATATTCAGACTTGAGGAGTTTCGCCCACATGGCTGGTATCTGACGCTTGTACAGTTTTTTTGTTATACTTGTTTTGGTCTCATAGAAATGGTTGCTACGGGAGATCGTTCAAGAAAGTAAGTGATAGTTTTATAAATGCTTAAATTTAATGTCTTTTTTGGCAGTAAAACAGTTCATTCCAACTAAATTGTATCACACTGATTTATTACTAAGGAGGATATTGAAATGACCTAAAATTTTTGTTTAAGTGTATACCCGTAAGTGGTTTCATAGTTGGAAGTGATTATATAGGTGGAAGTGGTTACATAGCATTGTAGGTGGCTATTGGAACTGACTAGTAAATGAATAGCAGCTGGAAACTTTATACTGTAAATGGATAGAACTTATTCAGGAGGAGGACAGTATGTAAGAATTATATCTCTCGAAGGTGTAGATTTAGAGTTATTGCCCTTTGTAATTTTTCATACTTAATTTTTGTGCAGGGCATAATAATGAGAAAGATATATGTTCATTCCTAGTAATCCTGGACATTCTAAATGGGTTCAATAAATTTGATAGATTTTTTCCATGAAAGTTGATTTTTAAAGATGGTCTTTTTTAGTATTGAGCAACACCATCACAGAGCATCATATTAAAGGGTATTAAGCTAAATTTAATGAAATTTTTTTATAGAACTAATAAATAGTAAAATTATGTTGTTTCTATAATCTAATGGTCAATTCCCAAAAAAGTTTTAACATAGAATGGCTCTGCATTTTAACACACATGAATATTGTATGTAAACAGAATAAAATGTTTCAGAACATAATATTACGCTACTATTTCAAGTAAACAGAATAAATTTTCTCAACTATAAAGCACTAAAATTAAATTGTTTTAATTTCAGGATTCCTTTGAAAATGTATTGTTTACTAGCATTTCTGACTGTAGCTACAATGGGTCTTTCCAACACGTCAGTTGGATATCTCAACTACCCTACCCAGGTTATATTTAAGTGTTGTAAACTTATACCAGTTATGATTGGTGGTGTTTTGATTCAAGGTATGATATGTTTTTAATGCATATTTTATTGTTCATCACTGTATTTTGAAGAGATGATGTATCAAGTTTAATAACAATTTCTTAAAAAAGTAATGCATTGGATTATGCATTATTTTATTTGCCAAGAAAATTTAAAGTTAACTTCAAATACAAGAGAGATAATCCAGAAATACATGGAATTAAGCCTTAGATTTAATAATATTTAGTATTTATTAATAATATTAAGTTACAGTACTGGCCACGCGAAACCCGCAAAAGTCGCGTTATGCCGCGAGTGTAGTCTATGTCGCGACGGGACACTTCGCGGTAAAACATCGCCGCGTGCAAGTTCGCCGAATTTCGTGGCGGGTCACGAAAAATCGCCGCGATGAATCGCCGTAATTTACGGCGAATCTTCAGCAATAATTGTATTAGAAAGTACTACTTGGTCCTTAATTCCCGTGGTCTTTAATTTTGAAAACTTTAAAAAAATCTTGTAAACGTCTTGTATATTTATAAATATTTAGCATTTGAACATGTACAGCGTATACATTTTGTATATTAAAACAAAGCAATCAGGTGCTGGTGAAAATTAGTTAACAATAAAACGAGATAGAAATTACAAAAGGTAATTGGTACTACATCAAAGAACGCACGATAAACAAATTGTCCAATTGTTATTTTGAATAATAATACAAATGTAATTAAAATCCATTGTTTACTTTCGCACATATTCTATTTTTTAGAACAATGCAAAGCGACATTTAGCACCGATTCACAGATGTAACTAATTATTACGTCTAATACGCTAATTATGATTGTTTTGAAAATTGTAAAAGTTTTATCACTTAAATTGACATTCTTTACCTTCAATTTCACGTGTAAAAAATGCCAGGTGCATGAGTAGCAAGATGCAAATCAGATTTTTTTTTATTCCCGCCAAATCAGCCAGGGCATTTGACCCAAAAAATTCCCTCGAAAACAAAAATAAAATCGGAGTTAAATCACACATTTAATATGTAAAGTAACGAGTGATCATTCATGAGGGCATTCTGTGCATAAAATTAGGGTGTTACTATTTAAAGTATTTACATAAATAGCGACCAACCAGGGAAGGATATTTTCCTTACGTCACGCAGTACTGCATGCGCGCGGCAATTAAGTTGAATTAACTAATAATAGCACGTATCAAATTAAGGTGTGAAACGGGATTAAATTTTTTTTTTTCAAATTAATGAATATTTGTAAAGCATTTATATGGTCACTAGTTTACCATGTGGTAATTTTAATGTGCTTTGGGGTACATGTTTCGTTTGTTTTATGACTGACGACACTGATTAAATACTATATAAGCCCATGCAATAAAACATTTCTGGTAGAAGCGTGGTCATAAAATTGACCGGAAAAAAATATCCTTTCATATGCATTATTGGTTTTGATAGCAGACACAAGTATTGCACAATATCTTCAAGATCATTAAAATGTAAATAAAATATCACAATCAAAATGCACTTACGATTAATATGTCAATAATTGACACAATCAATATCCAACATTTTTTTTTACTTGAGCAATAATTAAACATGTGTAATCATTCCTTGACAAAAAGAAATGACAGTTTTTTTTCTGATATAAAAAAGAGGTGAAAGTCAATCGAGTGTCGGCATTTCTTTGATGATTCGGCAACAACTACAGGTGTGTAAACATCAAAGATTCTTCAGAAGAGCCGACCAGTCATTTGTTCAGAGGGTCATTTCGTGTGTAAATTTTGTATTCATTATTTAACAATGGGAAACATTATATTCCTTTTATTTATGGATGCTTCTTTTTGCGCGAGTGTTTTTGTGTCTTTTAGCGCTATGGAATTTCAACAATCGGCGATAATTTTCGGTAACTAACAATTAAATATTTTAACATTTTTAAAACAGGGGTGCAAATATCCGCCATTCAGAAATTATAGCAGACAAATCTTGCGTGTGTTATTTTTTACAAACGTGTAATAAATTGAGTAATGATCACCCGAGAGAACGAAATGTCCCGGTGATCCACTACATTTAGAAATGAACAAGTTAATGTCGTATCAATTATGCATCTTTTTATGTAACTAAATATCTTTTTACACATATATTATATTTATATCTCTACTTTAACTCAATATGTACCCCCCCCCCTAAAAATAGTTTTACACGTGTACATGCACACTATTTACCTGCAGATGGAGCCGCATACTTGTACTGCGTCGCATTTATACTTGAGGTCATGATTCCGCCATTCACGGAAAGTTTTTTAACGGTGTTATTTGATTTCCGGCCGTGGTTATTTATATTTGCTGTTGGCATCAAAGATAAATAGAGAAAGGGCATTTTAGCAAATTACAAGATTTTCTTGATACAACTTCATGTAGATCTACTAATTAATTTTCGTACTTGTACATGTATAATCTGGTTTCAAGTTCACAGACTACACTTATAAATAGATCTACATTTATTATATAAATGAACATGTATTATTCCCCGCGAATCGCGGCAAATGTTCACGGCAAAATCGCCGCGAGTTGAATTCGCGGCGATTGTCTCAAGTTGCCGCGAATTCGCTCGCGTTATAAAGCATGAGAGTTCGCCGCGAATACGCGAATTGTGCGGGTTTCGCGTGTCCAGTACTGTATCTATTGTAAACACTAGAAAACAGAAATTTAAGAAATTTTATAGATGATGACATGCACAACAACCTGTGTCTTCTTAGAGGGTGATCCAACTGTTCGAAAATTATCTGTACCACTAAAATTCTGTGTGAGACCATCAGGGTACTTCAAATCTCTTTAAGCTGCACCAACCACTTTGGATTCATCATGTGATAAAGTTATCCAGCTAAGGTCTTCTTCCACCAGTAAAACTGGAAAGTCGCCGTACATGTATGTGCTATACTGTGTTGTTGTGATGTCAAACCCAACAACCCCCTCCCAAAAGAAAACCCCCCAAAAAATAACAACAAAAATACATCAAAAACATAAAAATTTTGATGTAAAAAGTCATTTTATTTTATGCTTTTCAGTGGATTACTGATTTATCCGTGAAAATTATATTTGGTAATTTCACAGTGAAAATTATCAAAATATAATTTCACTCTTTTCAATGACGAAACTACTTTTTTAAGATTTTCCCCTTGTGGTACCTCAATTTTATTTTTGCTGACAATTCTGACAATGTCAGGCTGTTTAAAGAAAAAGCAAAACTGAAATTGATAAATAACTTAAATGTCAAAAGTAATAAAAAGAAGAAAACTTACTTCTATTCATTCAAATTCATGAAATTCCAATCACCAAATTTCGTTTTTTTGTTTCATTTTGACAGTCTCAAAAATACATTCCTTCCCCATGCAAAACTGCTCTTGATGACATTTGGGCATATTAAAGTATCCTACGAGCAATAACTGCCGTATGCTTTATGAAAAATTGAAAGCATTGACAGCCATAACTCGAAGAATAAGTTAAATCAACCCAGCGTTCTTGAGCAGGTTTCCAAGTTTTCCATTTTCCTAGCTCCTTTCTGAATGTTTTCACATCTGTCAACACTTATTTTTTGTCTGTTACAATCCTCAAATAAGTTTTCTTTCTTTTAAGAATGTGTATGACTAACAAATCCAAATTATATCCCTCTGAATCTTACACAATTATTTTCCTCCCATGAAATACACAACTTTAAAAAATGGCTGCCGCTTACAATTTACAAAGCCAGGTCTAATATAAATTCGCACTAAGTAACAGAAATATGGATGGATGGTTGGACTTCTTTCTCCTACAAGAATTGTTTGTTTTTTATTATCAAAACAAGCGATCATTCATATTTTTTAATAAAATTAATAAATATCACCGTCATTTAATGTTGATTGGCGGACTTATTTTTCAGCTCAAGACTTCTTTTTTTTTAATGAGAAATTCCGAATAAATGGGGGCTCTCAATGGGGGAAACAGTTTTAATATTAAGTTAAAATTATGGAAATTTCGTTTTAACTTGTTTTTAAGCATAAAATAAAAAGAAAAATTTGTCTGTTTGTTGTGTAAGATGTAATTTTATTTCATCTCGTGAACTTTAAAAACAGTATTCTCACTCGTGGCTTCGCCACTCGTGAGAATACTGTTTTTAAAGCCCACTCGATGAAATAAAATTTCATCTTACACACAAACAAACAAATATCCTCTATATAATTGATTGCAAAACTACAGTAACTTATATGAAATTAAGACTTACAACAGTTTTGCTGTTGACCCTTGATATGTCAATAAATTAAGCAATACACATAAACAGCACTGAGGATTGTGTATAGTTAATAGTTATAGTGATTTAAATAACTTTGTTTAACTTTTAATAATGTTTACTAAAATATATTTCAGGAAAGAAATACTCACCGTTAGATGTAACAGCCATGTTGATGATGGTTGTTGGTTTAATACTATTTACGTTGGCTGATAACAGTGTCTCTCCATCCTTTAATACTTATGGTTTGTCAAATTCTTATTACATTTATTTACAGTTTATTTTTTATTCTTTGTCACAATTTTATATGACAAACAGAGTTAATTGAAGTATGCTCCCTTTTGACTTTACTGCATGTTTTTGTTGAATTAAATTGGCACAATTAAAGGTAATTATTATTTGTTTCAAACCAGATCACATCTTAATACTATTACCTATCCATTTTTTCTTTACAAATTCTCTTTAGATACCAAAATATATCTTGTTTCAATCTATTCGAGCCTATTTTTATCAGAGAAATTTGTAAGGCCATAAATTTAATGAACAAGAGGGCCATGATGGCCCTGAGGTCGCTCACCTGTATATAGGCCCCCGAAGCGGGGCCAGTTTAAACCCTAGGGCTTTTATTTGAACAAACTTGGAATTAAGACACCCATTAGAAGATGTTTCATGATGTTAAGTTTCCCCCCCCCCCCCCCGGCAGAGTTAATTTTAACCCAAGGGCTTTTATTTCAGGGCTCACGCTGTCGGTCGCCATAGTCGCCATTTGCGATTATTTTATAAGATTGGCGATTATTTTTGCATTTTGGCTACAAATCCTGGCGATTATTTTTTACTTCCAACAGTGTTTATAAAAGGTGTAAAAATCGATAAAGAATGCAGTAGACCTAATTAACAACAGCGGGGTGCGATTTAATTGAGTGACAACTTTTTACCGGTCACGTGCTGTTTACTATATTGCCCGAGGTGTTAAAATACATGTGAAATGTATAATTGTATAAGTACTTTAAAGATATTGTCCAGCATTTGTAATAGCCATCAAATATCCGTCAATTAGCCACAAAAATCGTTTTAAAATTGATAAACTGGATATTGACTTACCCAAAATTTACCGTGAATTGAAGTAATTGTAAATTTTGATTTTTTTTCTGTTTTGAGCCACTTGACTAAATCGCCAGTGAAAAACAATGGTAAAATATTTAAAAAGTATTAACTTCCAAACAACTATTTGCACAACAACCAAAATTGTGAATATTAATTCTTCAGAAAACAGGAAAAATCTGATTGTCACATATTTTCGCAACACCGATAATTTTGATATTTATTCAAAGGTGAAATAAGCTATGTTTTGTTTAAAAATCTTTACTACTATGGCAGAAAAATTGTATTACATTGGTGATGATGATATTTTTCAGTAAATTATTCAGAAAAAAGACTGCATTCTGTGAATGAGTTTGCAAACTTGTGTTATTTCTATTAGGCTAATATGACCTAGATCTACTCCAGTTCTGTGTGAACAGTGGTTATAGCTGACAAAATTTGATTAGAACAAACAAAAGAAGTTGTCTGATAACAACATTATGTAAAGTTATAATGAATCTTTAATATTATTGTTATACAGTAATTATACTAATTATAACGTTTTTATTCTGTTCTATAATAACAATTAAAGTTGTGGTTCTAAAAAAAGGTAGTTATCAATATACACAAATGTATCAGTTTATTTGAGAATCCTTATAAAACTGAAAAAGTTTTATATAAATGTAATGTTTATTCAATCAAGTGCTTATGTTGTTTATCGCTAAATCGTGAATAGTCTGCTGAACTTTTGGCTATTATTTTTTTAAGTTGAAAATATTGGCTATTATTTTATTTGAGCCAGTGTGAGCCCTGTATTTGAACAAACTTGGTAGACACCCATAAGATGTTTCATGCTAAACAACTAAGCTCTAGCTCATTGGGTTTTTTAAAAGAAGATTTTTTTAAGTTTTTACTATACTATACACATATAGTTAAAAACAATGACACCCCTTGGGCGGGGCCAGTTTTGACCCCAGCAGGGCTTTTATTTGAACAAACTTTGTAGACACTTATTAGAAGATGTTTTATGCTTAATATCTAAACTCTAGCTATTTGGGTTTTTTCAAAGAAGATTTTTTAAGTTTATGCTATACACATATAAGGAAATCAATGACCCCCGGGGTTGTGCCAATTTTTACCCCAGGGCTTTAATTTGAACAAACTTTGTAGACACTCACTAGAAGATGTTTCATGCTTAATATCTAAACTCTAGCTATTTGGGATTTTTTCAAAGAAGGTTTTTTAAGTTTTTGCTATACACATACAGTCAAACGTGTATTAAGCGACCGGGCAAGGGAAACACCAAAAACGGTCGCTTAATGAAACTGTCTCTTAAGACAGTCAGCATGATATAAAAGTCAAAATTTATAAATGACATCTTTTTTATTCGATGGGATTGTTTTTCAACTTCATTTTAATTTAACTGTTGAATAATAAGTACGCTCCGATAATCTAAACGGATGCAAATGTAAAAATAACGTTCTGATATTTATTGACAAAACAGTTTTGATCCATTACGTACATGTTTGACATTTTTTCCAGAATTTTTTAACTTCTCCGTTGTTTTTCCTTGTCTCCAACACGAAAACCCTATTAGTGAAGATGTTTTCTGTTGTGCATTTTTTCATTTGAAATAAACAAACTACATCTATTTGTTACGATTAATTTAATGGCTGATCAAGTTCAAGGTCAATTCAGTGCAGTCTAAATGTCAACAAGCGAAGCCCATACACCATCTCAGTATGGGCGGAGCGTTGCATTGTTTATCCGATATTACTGGATAATACACGTCACGCGTATACTTAACTTCATTTGCATACGCTAAAACGGTATGGGAAATAGAGTTTTTCACACGTTTATTGTTGTGTTTTGATTGCTGACCCTTGTGACATAACGAGGTGGCGTTCTCTAAAAACACAATTACTTGACAGGTAAAAGTGGTCGTTTAATGAAAAGATTGATGTCAATTAGGTGACTAATTAGCGGTTGCTGGTCGCGTTGAGCAAAAGTCGCTTAATACATTAAAGATATAGAGAGAAAATGATCGGGGGGAATTTAAAGTGGTCGTTTAAGACAAAAGTCGCTTAATACACGTGGTCGCATGGGCAAGTTAGACTGTATTAGGAAAATCAATGATCCCCGAGGCGGGGCCAATTTTGACCCCAGGGCTTTTATTTGAACAAACTTAGTAGACACCCTTTAGAACATGTTTCATGCTAAATATCTTAGCTCTAGCTCTTTGGGTTCTTTAAAAGAAGATTTGTTAAGTTTTTACTATATGCATATAGGGAAAATCAATGACCCCCTGGGGCGGGGCCAATTTTGACCCCAGGGCTTTTATTTGAACAAACTTGGTAGACACTCATTAGAAGATGTTTCATGCCAAGTATCTAAGCTCTAGCTCTTTGGGTTCTTTAAAAGAAGATTTTTCAAGTTTTTACTATATGCATATAGGGAAAATCAATGACCCCCTGGGGCGGGGCCAATTTTGCCCCTAGGGCTTTTATTTGAACAAACTTGGTAGACACTTATTAGAAGATGTTTTATGCCAAATATCTAAGCTCTAGCTCTTTGGGTTCTTTAAAAGAAGATTTTTTAAGTTTTTACTATATGCATATAGGGAAAATCAATGACCCCCTGGGGCGGGGCCAATTTTGACCCCAGGGCTTTTATTTGAACAAACTTGGTAGACACTCATTAGAAGATTTTCATGCCAAATATCTAAGCTCTAGCTCTTTGGGTTTTTTAAAAGAAAATATTTAAAGTTTTTTCTTTCGGTTGCCATGGCAACCAGAGTTCTGCATAGAATTAAATTCTTTGAACAATTTTTAAAGGTGACCACCAAAGGAACATTCCTGTGAAGTTTGGATGAAATTGGCTTAGTAGTTTATGAGGAGATGTCATTTGAAGCAAAAGTTTACAGATGGATGACGGCCGGACGCCGGACGAAAAGCGATCACAAAAGCTCACCCTGTCACTTTGTGACAGGTGAGCTAAAAAATTGCTAGGGGCAATTTATTGTTTCCCTGAGCAAAAAACTTTACACTCATTGCTGAGTACTGGTTGATTCCAGAAATTAATTCAAATGTATGTCTATGAGCTTATAGCTTCCTACAGAATCAAACTACGTTGTAAAATAAATTCTGTGTGAACCAAATTGTTCTGGTTATTTACAGGTGTAATACTAATAACTCTAGCCCTATGTGCTGATGGACTTATTGGAAATTTTCAAGAAAAAACACTAAAGCAATATTCTGCAGGAAATTCAGAAATGGTAATGTTTTTACCAGAAAAATCTCTATAACTTTATTTCAATGATGATGATATTTTAAAGTTTTAGCTCATCTGAGCACTAAGTGCTAAGCTTATGCGATTGTATAAATTGTCTGTCTCTCGGCATCCATCTTCCATTATTATCAACTGTTTCTTTATACAATAGCTTCTGTGGATGCTGATTCAGAAATGAACCGCGCCATGACAAAACCAACATAGTGCGTTTGCAACCAGCATGGATCCAGACCAGCCTGCGCATCTGCACAGTCTGATCAGGATCCATGCTGTTCGCTTACAAACCCTATTACAAGTAGAGAAACTGATAGCGAACAGCGTGGATCCTGATCAGACTGCACAGATGCGCATGCTGGTCTGTATCTATGCTGGTCGCCAACCCACTATATTGGTTTTGTCATGACAGGCTCGCTCAAATTATGTTGGATTAGTAGTCTGTCACTTGTGGAGAAATTGGTAACTACTTGTTAGTTACTAATATCCTGGAAAGCTGGTCAGGGGGACCAACTGTCAAGATGTGACCAAGAAAAAACAAAAAAAAACATTTAAAAAGTGTTAAAATCAAAACAAATAAAGTCATAGGAGTTGTTTAAACGAAATCTTTTAAAATCTTCTACTTACAAACTAGAATGCCTAGAGCTTAATATGATATTTTAAGTTCAAGCGTGCTTTAAGAAATAAAGAAGCTGTCAAATGACATTGACAGAGACTTTTTTTGTCATATTATGAAAATTAACATACTAGTGGATAGTAAGCTTTGTGATAAAGATTATTTAAATACTATTTTTCAGGTATTTTACTCCTATTCACTGGGATTGTTGTATATATTTATTGGTATCCTATTACTTGGTGATTTTGTCTCTGCATTCAAAGTGTGTCAAGAGGTAAGTCAAATCTTTACATTGTTTTATTTTGATAAGAAGCTTTCTATTTTTAGCACATCAAATTACAAAATACTCATATAAAAGCTTTTGTGATATTCACATTGAAAGTTACACTGGTGTAGGTTTGATCCAAAATGTTTTAATACAGCATCTCCTAGACAACATGCCATATATGGTAGACTTCAGTTAATAACCAAACTTCACAGAAATGGTCCCGGTGGTAGTGGTTTTGGTAGTTTTCATTCCGGATCACAGCAGTAAGCGACATTGAATTTACCAGAGCACAGTTCAGCCACCATATCATTACAGGGCAGGCTGTCGAGCAGTTTACCAGTGCTAGTTGCCTTGGCTTTTGCAAGGAACTGATAACTTCTGTACATGCCAAAGCTGAGGAACAGTGCCAATGACCATTGAAATTATATCATGATCAGTCACAACGAATGTGACCTGCCGGTCCAGAAATCCAACCAGGATCGCCAGATTCACAGTCCAACATTATTCCTATAGAGCTAACCAGGTGGACTCATGGTCCCCCCGGTGTTGCTCTCTACAACTATTTTAATATTTCCAGTCTGATGCACAAGTTGGTAACAGATATTTGTTGGATATTGGAATGCAACATTGTTATTTAAATATTTGGAAAAGGAAAATGAGATGTGCTACATGAAATCTTGCCAATGGCTTCCTGAAAAAGAAACAAAAAAAAAAAACATTTAGGTTTTACATCTGCTAAATGGCACTCTAATGCTAATAAGTACCTTATTCTCTAATAAACAAACTGAGGGCCTTAATATTAAAAAGCATCTAAATTCTAGCAATAAACGACTAACTTATTGGTTTTTTGTGTCGCCTTGAAAAGGCGACATATAGGGGTTACATTTGTCGGCGGTGTCGGTGTCGGCATCCCCTAAAGCTTGTCCGGAGCATAACTCAGTCACTATAAGTCTGATTGACTTTAAACTTGGTATGCATGCTTCTTTCAATAACCCGAAGTGCAGTGCACAAGGACTGCTGCTCTGCACTTCCTAATTTTTGAGTTAAAGTCCTTTGTTAGTTTTCATATTTCATTTTTGTCCTGGTCATTTCTCCTAAACTATACTGTTCACAAGGCGACACATCCGACTTGCGGAGTTCTAGTTTTAATTTTTAATTGTCAAAAGTGGCGCTGGGTGTTTATTAGGGTTTAATGGTAAATTTCATATAGTGGTTACTTTCTTTGATAAACAATCATATGTCAATTATTTTACTATTATTTTGTTTCAGTACCCCATGCAGACATATGGCTATGGTCTGATATTTTCTCTTTCTGGATATATAGGGTTATATATTGTGCTTACTCTAGTCAAATCATTTGGTGCTCTGATAGCAGTCACAGGTAAAGTTTAAGGACGTTTTCGGGAGTTTTCATATAGACATATAGGCAAAATTAAAACTGTTCAATAGAATTTCTTTAAACTTGGCATGTTGCTAGAATATGATAAAAGAAACATTTTAAGCGAGAAAAAAAATTTGGGGTCACCTTTCTCGTTTCTGAGTTATCTGCCCCTGAATCAGAATTTTCTACTTATTTGAGGTCAATTCAAGGGCAGATAACGTATACATACTTAAATGAATTCTTGTTTTTTCTTCTGAATTATATTTTTCTTTTTACTGTTGAGTATGATACATAATAACATACAATTCCTTATATCATTTCTGTTAATTTTTTAAGAAAAATATGCACAGGTTTAAAGAAGAAGTGGAAGAAAAATTATCCACTCTAAATCCCATTTTGAAATTTTGCATATGGACTAAAACGAAGGTAAGCTTCATGAAAATAAGAAAAAACAATGTATTGTTTTTTTTTCATTGCAAATTATCTGCCCTTGAATTTAACGAAAAAGTCCAATTCAAGGGCAGATAACTCGAAAATAAGAATGGTAACCCCAATTTTTTTCCGCTTAAAATGTTTCTGTTATTATAGTCTAACAACATGCCAATTTTTAAGAAGTTCTATTGAACAGTTTTAATTTTGCCTATATGTCTATATGAAAACTCTGAAAACGTCCTTAAGTACATTTATCAAAGATTTTCTAATAACAAAATTTTGACCATTCTTAGATTATATGTAGGGTAGGAATGGATTTGTTGAAACTATCTAGTTAGCCTGTCCCAAAAAAGGTGGTGGTTCTACATGTGTGCTTGGTACTCCAATTAATAATGTTCTTCATATATTCAATTAAATGTTTATTTCACCTAAGCACAACACTCTCAATGTCAGCAATTGTGACCAGAATGTGTTTCTGACACAACATTTCTAAAACTAAGTGACAAAATATGATGAAACTTGCCTAAGATGCTCCTTACAGAAAGCTTTACCAAAATTGTTATCAAGTTAGCTTACAAAATGTCACTAGTTTAAATTCAGTGCCATCTTGTGCTCTAGGTAATGCACAAAAGGGCACCTGAAGTTTTTCTCCACCAGTAAAACTGAAAAGTTACCATATGGCCTATACAGTGTTGTTGTGACTTAGAAATAGGAGTTACTTAAACCCATTGCCACATGAGCATTTTGTGAAAAACGGCTGTTTTCATTGAAAAGTCTCACGTTACAAGTTCAAATTGCTATAAAACTATTAAAACTGCTTCAATACTAATCAAACTTGGCACAAATGTTGACTGAACCATTGCCTCTGTAACAACATACTCAGTTTTTAATTTCCTGTTATCATGGCAACGAGGGGACATCTCAAAAAGCCAAAAACTCTTATTTTGTGTTGATTTTTTTCCATCAAAATTGATTTCAAAATGCTGCAACTTCTCAATGGATTGAGATAGAGTCAAAGACTTTTCAGCAATGGTTACACATTACCATATGATCGACCTGGGGTCATTTTTAGCCCTTCAATCCCCCAAATAGAAGGGGGCACATCCCCCTTCTGGCAACCCCTTGATGTATCTTTTGGATAGGGGGCGGCACCGAAAAAGTGGTCACTTTTTTAAACAACATTTCTCAAACAAAAACAAGTGTTGGGGGCCTAAATAAGGCATTTTTTCACCATTTGAGACAACAAAGGGGAGGGGGGGGGCGTGAAAAAAGGTGTAAAAAGGAGTGTTTATCTGGTAATGGGTTAAGATACTCATAATCAGTCATCAAAATTGGCACCAGCCTGACAGTGGTAAATTTATTTCTGGGCTAGTGAAAATTTCACAGCTACATTACACTACAAATTAAGAATTTATAAATGAATCTAATTGATATTTTTCTGTTTTTCAGTGACCACATGCCGGAAGGCTGTTACCATTATTTTATCTTTCCTGTTTTTTACAAAGCCATTTACATATCAGTAAGTCTGATTTTCATATTTTAGTTTTATATTTTAGAAATGTAATGCTTTAATTGATTGCTGTTAGAAAATTAAATGCTTATTATTGTTAATAATTCATTTTATAGGCCCAAAAAAGAAAGTATTTTGTGGATATTATTCAGTTAAAAGACAAGTTCATTGATAACTTCAGTTAAAAGACAACTTCATTGATAACTTCAGTTAAAAGACAACTTCATTGATAACTTTAGATAAAAGACAACTTCAGTGGTTACTTTAGTTAAAAGACAACTTCATTGATATCTTTAGTTAAAAGACAACTTCAGTGGTTACTTTAGTTAAAAGACAACTTCATTGATATCTTTAGTTAAAAGACAACTTCAGTGGTTACTTCAGTTAAAAGACAACTTCATTGATAACTTTAGATAAAAGACAACTTCAGTGGTTACTTTAGTTAAAAGACAACTTCATTGATAACTTTAGATAAAAGACAACTTCAGTGGTTACTTTAGTTAAAAGACAACTTCATTGATATCTTTAGTTAAAACACAACTTCAGTGGTTACTTTAGTTAAAAGACAACTTCATTGATAACTTTAGTTAAAAGACAATTTCATTCATAACTTTAGTTAAATCACAACTTCAGCTATAACTTTAGTTAAAAGACAACTTCATTGATAACTTCAGTTAAAAGACAACTTCATTGATAACTTCAGTTAAAAGACAACTTCGTAGATAACTTTAGTTAAAAGACAACTTCATTGATAATGGTTCTAATAATATATAATTTATATTATGTATCTTTGTTTTAGGTATGTATGGTCAGGACTTATAGTTGTGCTTGGAATATACCTAAATGTCTATAGTAAGAACAAGGCATCATGGGATATCACTTTAACACAGTGGTATTGGTGTATACGACAGAAACTCGGCTTACAGAGAAATTATCCCATCACCAGTATAACCAGCACTATTGTGTAACATGTAGTATACATGTACATAAAGGTTACCTCAAGTTGGTTTTACCTTACAAATTTTGACCGTATAGACATAATTTGTGAAGAAACAATTTTTTTAGTGAATTTTAAGTATTTCTATTTTATTGAGGGAAAATTTGCATAACTAAGCAAATGGATTATGTATTTTTTTAGAAATTTTAAAGTTCTGTTGTATTACATTGAGATTATATTTTTTGAGGCTTATTTAGCCTAAAAAGTGCAAATATATTTTTTGTTATTTTAAGTTTTGATGTCTCGTTATAGTTTCTAAAATGTTACTTAATGTTCATAGAGCTGAGCCATCCTTTGTGTCTTTTACATTTGGGCAATTAATACAGTTATAATGATTTAGTATTTTGCATGGAAGTCAAAATACTACTATATATATATTTTGCTAATTTTATCACACAAGTTTCACATTTAGTTCTATCTTTTCAGGTGATAAGCATCTTACATGTTTTAATTCCACATTTTTAATGTTAATAATTAAGTGTTTTCATAATGGCCTTGTTATTGGGCTGAAGAATGTCAAATAAGCAAGAGGCCAAAGGCGGAAACACATGGTTTGCTATTTCTACAGAAATTAAAATGTTCTGAGGCTTAATGTGCCTTTAAAGACACAACAGATGGCTTAGCTGTCATGAAAAGATGAATGCAACTGTGATATTAATGTACACTATTGTATTTGTGAACCAGTCTGGTTACTTTGTAAAATTTGTAGAAAATATTAAAATGGTTAAGCATTTGTTACTCGATAAATAAGTTATTATACAATCCAAATGTAATATAGTATGGTTATAATTTGTATTGGTCAAAGTTTAGGATTTACTTTCAGATAGATGTAGATTAGAAAAAAGGGCAAGGGAATATATGGTGTTATTTTCTTCACATTTTTCACATAATATACTGGTAGTTATTGTGCAGATTTTAGACTGTACAATAAAGCTTTTAGAAAAGTAAAAAAGTTTTGAGAATTATGCAAAGGTTATTATGTAAAACTAAATTGTTAACTACAGCATTAAAAGTTTAAACAGAACTAAAGGTAACATGAACAAAATATATGTATCAGTGGAAGAAAAAGGTGTTTACTCAGGGTCCTAATAATATTACTTAAAGTGACATTATAATGCTCATATTTTCATAGTCAAGTTGGGCTGAATTGACTTTTTATTTCAAAAGATTGACTGTTACAATGGTGTTTGACCAATAGTTTATTTTGGAAAATATTTAGGATAAAATTTAAAATCTGCCTAAAATATAAAAAAGACTGCCCCACTCTTTTTATAAACTTACTGTTTCAGATAAGATCTAAGTATAGGTTAGAGTGCATATTGAGTGTTCTTCGTAAATAAGAAAGCTAAAAAGGAGCGGAGCTTGCGAAGCGACTGTAGCTTTCTTATTTTCGAGGAACATCCAATATGCACTCTAACCGGCTTAGTGCTCCGCCCACTTGCGTTTTATAATATAAAACGTCCAGTTTATATAAAATCTGTTCTATTAAGATTTGTAACCTGAAAATTTGAAAAATCCTTGTCGGTGATTGGCTTAAAAAAATTGGCGAGCACTAATTGATATTTACAGACATTCTGTTTCATCTGGGGATTATTTATTGTTTATGTGAAGTAAATTATTAAATTTAAAGGAATAATGGCAATATAAAAACTTATTTTTACTTTCACCTGTTCACTCACTGTATACCCTTGAATGGGCATAGTGTCACTTTAATAATGTTAAAATACTAACACAAAATGCATGTGGTAAAAATTTAAAAAAAAAAACTTTGCCAAAACACATCACTATCTTTAGCACTTAACATGTCATCATTATGGTGAGCACTTAACACATCATCATTGTCCTGAGTGTTCAACACCTTATCACCATTTTGAGCGCTTTTCACGTCATCACTATCATGAATACATAACACATCATCATCGTCCTAATTAACACACCATCACTATCATGAACACGTAACATAACATCATCCTAATTATTTAACATGCCATCACTATCATGAACACAACATCATTGTCCAGAGTATCAAACGCGTAGATATTCAGAGACTTTATCACATCTTATCATGATGACCACTAATGACATTATCATCAGCTGAGCAACGCCATGTCATCATTTTATATTCATATTTTATTGATCCACAACTTCCAACACTTCAACAACGAATCTCTTTTTGTTTTATGATTGTTCTGAACTGAATAGTCCTAAATTTTGTGTGAAATATTAACATAACTAATCTATATCTATGATAGAGACATTCTGTGTAACAATTTTATAGAGATTCCACCAAACGTTTACAGAAGCAACATAATTTAACTTCAGTGAGAATAAAAAAAGGATTGAAGCACCACACTTAATACCATATTGCGGTATATACGAGACAAGGGGCTTGAATGATTAAATGCTAATAAAGTCTTGCCTTTGCACCCAACGAAATGAACTTTAAAGCATCTTATCAATCTCTTCACACCAATTTATGTATGATAATGAATGAAATATGTAAGAATTACCGAAAAAATATCAATATTTGTCTATTTTGTGATCATGATTTCTGCAAGTGTCTACTGAAGAGGTATTGCTCCAATCCTGTATTGAGTTTTATCAATTTTACTTAGTATTTATGAATGTTATAAAAATAATGCGTTAGATTAACTTTATTTGGTTATACACTTTAAGAGATTAAAACTTGTTATCACATGTATTGATTTTAAAAATAGTCTTGAATTAGCATGGAATATATTATTTAAAAAAAAACCTAATTGACTAAGATGAAAATGATAGATGGCCTTTATTAAGATCCTTAATAAATTAAAAACTTCACTTTCAATTGATATTGAGTAATTCTCTTCATGACAATTTTAATATATGTTTTTGCATATTACATATACTTATATAATTAATGAAAATTGAAATGCAAACTGAAACTACTTTATATTGTAGCTGTTGTTGGTATTATTATTTTTAATTATGCGCAATACGTAAATTTATAATTACTATGATTAATTTAATACTAGCGTCAGTCGGATAATTGAATGAAAATATATTAGCTTAATATTAAAGTAGATATTTGTTGAATTTTTGTTTGTACAAAATAAATTTCAAATTTTGTATAGATCTACAAGTACATTTGTATTTTTATTTTATTTTTTTTAAATCGTTGTTATTCTTTGTCTTTGTTATACATGTAGTTAAATCAGAAGGCGGTACTGAAAATTAGTTTACATGTTCTCTTTTTTGTGTAAACATTGTTGCCTTCTCTAAATAAAGATTTTATTATTATTATATATAAATTAGTTTTGTACATATGTTTTAACTTATGATATGAACAATAATAGAATGTATAGTGTAATATGATGGTTTGATTATAAGAATATGATGTATGTAAGATATATAATGTTGGGTTTAAGGGTGATGACCCTGACCATCTCGTACCCTTTACGGAGGCGAATAAACGAGGGTATCCAATTGGGGCCTGAAACTTGAAAAATAAAGTGTTATTCTAAATCAATGTGACTAATGTAGTTGATTCTTTGACTCACAAAAATGAGGGATGGAAGCCTTTTGAGTTATTTTACTCCAACATAACATCTATCTCCAACTCAAAAACCATCCTACCTGTTAGAAACTAGTAACAAAATCTAAATTTACTGAGCTTAGATATTTTCATGTACCATCAATTTGTGGTCCTTGAAAAGTTATATTTAAGTCATGCCCCTGGGGTCAACCTTGCCCTAGGGTCTCTTAGTTGATACTGACTTATAAGAAAGCACATTCAAGTCTTGTTGAAAACTACAATGAAGCATTTCCTAGCAGAGCTCTACAAATATTTTATGATTTATGCAGTTGTGAACAAAAATTACGCTACCAGTGTTATGTAATTACTTACTACTTTGATGAAGTAGCAATGAATCTGGGATGAGCAATCTAGGGCCATCATGGCTTTCTTGTTTCACATATTTTCCGGGAATCTAAATCACAAATTTAATTCTTAGTGAAATAAACCCTCTCTTTGAAAAAAAAAACTTATCTTAATTATACACACATCTTTACCAATGAAAACTAATCTAAGAACTTTGAGGTTTATACAATCACAAGTTTTAGTAGATGAATATTTGATTTGGTTTTACGTCACAGCGACACAGTATAGGTTATATGACTAAGTTCCAACTTTTACTGGTGGAGGAAGACCTCCGGTGCCCTTCCATGCATTATTTCAGGCACGCATGGTCACCTGAGTAAAACTACTGACATTCTGTAGGCCAGCTGGATAGCTTCCGTGCATGAAAGAATCCAAAGTTCCTGTTGGGATTCAAACCCACAGCAGTGAGGGGCAAGTGGTTTGAAGTCAACAACCGTAACAACTCAGCCACAGCCGGATATTACCAATGTTTCAACAAATATTCAAGTGCCCACTGTAAGCCTGTAATGAATTTTTATTTCTTATCTTAATAATACAAACATACTTGTATATACATATGTACATAAATATTCAATCACTTTAACAAGAAAAGAATGTAAACAGCTTTTCTAAATAGAAATATATGGAAAAAAAATTACAAAAAATAAATAGATTAACATAAACATTATGCTATCATATTTAGCACATTAATCACATTGTAAAATCAAAATACTGCTTATCTATGCAGTTAAGCATAAAATAATCTTTGAAATATATTGCAAAAATTGACATAAAAAAAAGAAAACAAAACACTATTGCAGATATGTGAGAAATGGTGTAAAAATCACCCAGCCTCTTTGGTCAGGTCAAAAAGCATTATTTAATGTAATTAACAAGTCTCTAAGATGGAACAATATTATAATAATAACATACGCCTCTCAGGGTAATAGTGCAATATATTAGCAACCCAAGAACTGAAATAACAATAGAGGAGGAGTCAAGGATGTTATTTCAGTTCTCCAGTTGCTAATAATTTTATGCACTCTTACCCTGAGAGACATTATTTTTGAACAAACATTTGAACATCATTTTTTCACCGCCATTCATCACTGATTAAGGCCAGGAGAGCTTACCAGAACATTACGTTTTATTATGTCTATTTTGAATACTCGCCCCTGAAGAATATTGCAAAAATTTATTGACCAGGTGATATTAATTTAATGGGTTGATAAATCGCAATAATTCCATGTCACATTAGGCTATATAGTAAATAGTTAACAGGAGGTATAATAAATATGCTAAATAATTGGTGCATTAAAATCACTCAGAATATTACATATTTTTGGTATGTTCTTTTTTTTCTCTGAAAATTTTTATGTTGCAACATAGGTACTTTTAAGTTTTTCACTTTAAACATTTAAAAAGCATTTTGAAAGGGTGGTAAATTGAAATGTATAATAATTTGGTGCAGACTCTAATTAAGGATGAACAAATGTAAGAAGGTAGCCTGTTATAAAGTGTCAATGCCAGTTTGTACCTTAAAAATAAAAATTATAAAAGAACAAAATTACGAGGTGATGTATAAAAAAGAACATAAAAAAGAACATGGTACAAAACAAGAATTTATAATGAACAAGTTGTGACATGACTAGATGTAGCTTTTACCTGAAGTATTACTCATTTTTCATCTAACAGAAATAGTAATTGTTTGACAGATTGTTTGGGGCTTACACACTCATTATAAAAAAGGGCATTTGGCGACCCTTTTCCCCCCTTTTTAAAATTTTTCTAGGGAAAGGAATACCTGAAGGCCCCTCTTGTGCATTTAAATTTTAGGCACCCCGGAGAAAAAAATCAAAAAGTCCCGTTTTAAACTATTGGTAACTTTCCCCACATGAAAAATCCAAAGTGCCTTACCACTTCTGACAGCACTGAGGGGCAAATGGTTTGAAGTCAACAACCTTTTTAAGCATTCTATCTGAAATTTGCCCGTAATCACAATTTTATGACCAATGATAAATTTATCACTTTAGTTATATACGGAGTTAACCTGTTACTGTATTAAGGTGACGAATTGATGGGAATGATTAAAGTCCCAATAAGGATGAAATAAAATGATAAAGAGAAAAAGGAAACACTTAGTTACATAGTACGTATGTACATGTGTATGTTCAAGCATAGTAAGGATTATCTCACAGTTAATTTGGGATAATGGCCTAATAGAAACATATTTTACAAACATGCAACGACCATACCACATGCAAACTGAGTTTTAAGTTAAAATTTTGAGAAAAAAGGAGAACAAATCTTATTTTTTAGTTTTATTTACCAATATTTAAATAAGATTTTTTCCTCATTTTTTCGCACTAGCTAATCACCTTCATGTATTCAATTTGCACTGCACATTACACAAATATTTTTCCAGAAATTTGAATTCACAATTTTAGTACTCCTAAACTTCATAATTCACAATTTTATTACCCCTAAACTTCATAATTCACAATTTTTGTACTCCTAAACTTCATACATAATTCACAATTGTTAGTACTCCTAAACTTCATCTTTTTCTGTACACATGATAAAACACATCTGATAAAATGACAGGGGAGACAGTACAATCAACTAGTTAAATAATGTGCTAATTAAATAACGATTAATTAAATAATGGATGATGTAAAGGAAGACAAATCTTTGAAAAAAATCAATAATGATTTAAATATACATGTATTTCTGTTTCAGTAACAAGAAAGCACTCAAATGTTAAACATTTAAAGTCTGTTATAATTTTATAAATTGAGCTTGTATATAGTGTCATGTTTTATAAATATTCTGACTGTGATATTGTAAATTAATAAAACAGATAATTAAATAATTGATAAACAAACAAACAAATCAAAATAAATATAACTGATCAAATAAATGAATCAATAAATAAAACTAAGTGACCCTGCAAGTTAAATTTGACACCAGGGGCATGACTTAAATAAATATTTTAGACGACAACAAGGTGATCAAACATCAATGAATATAAAAAGCTTTGGCTTTCTAGTTTTTGTGGAGGCAAAACTTTTAGATAATGTTTTTAATGTCTATTTGTATATCTAGTGGACAACTTATCCATCCCACTGGTCTTTTAAACATTTTACATAGACAGCCATCTCTATAGGATCATTTCTGTAAAGTTTGGTCAAAATCTGGCTTGCAGTTTTAGGACAAATTGTGAATAATGATGCACTACAGAATTCTTATAATCACAAAACCTCATATCTGAGCCATTTCTGCAAAGATATGGGCACTTTGTGCAAAGGGGAGCTAAAAAAATGGACAATATCATTTCAAAATCTACAATAGAATTATCATTTATGTTCTAAAGAAATAAGATTGAAAGTTTAAAAAAGCATCATTATGATATTTATTAATTTAAAGTGAAATAGATACTAGTATCACATGTAAGTAGTCCAAGATTTAAACCAAGATCTCAAGGTTTTCCTTGAAAACAATTGGTGGTAAAAAGAAAAACAAGAGGGCCATGATGGCCCTGAGGTCGCTCACCTGTATATAGGCCTCCCCCCCTTCCCCCCCCCCCCCCCTGGCAGGGCCAATTTTAACCCAAGGGCTTTTTATTTGAACAAACTTGGTAGACACCCATAAGAAGATGTTTCAGGCTAAACATCTAAGCTCTAGCTCATTGGGTTTTTTCAAAGAAGATTTTTTAAGTTTTTACTATACACATATAGTTAAAAACAATGACATCCCCGGGGCAGGGCCAATTTTGACCCCAGGGCTTTTATTTGAACAAACTTTGTAGACACTCACTAGAAGATGTTTCATGCTAAATATCTTAACTCTAGCTATTTGGGTTTATTCAAAGAAGATTTTTTAAGTTTTTGCTATACATATATAAGGAAAATCAATGACCCCCGGGGCGAGGCCTATTTTGACCCCAGGGCTTTTATTTGAACAAACTTGGTAAACACCCATTAGAACATGTTTCATGCTAATTATCTTAGCTCTAGCTCTTTGAGTTCTTTAAAAGAAAATTTTTTAAGTTTTTACTATTTGCATATAGGGAAAATCAATGACCCCCTGGGGCGGGGCCAGTTTTGACCCAAGGGCTTTTCTTTGAACAAACTTGGTAGACACTCATTAGAAGATGATTCATGCTAAATATCTTAGCTCTAGCTCTTTGGGTTCTTTAAAAGAAGATTTTTTTTTTACTATACACATATAGTTAAAAACAATGACACCCCTGGGGCGGGCCATTTTGACCCCAGGGCTTTTATTTGAACAAACTTTGTAGACACTTACTAGAAGATGTTTCATGCTTAATATCTAAACTCCAGCTTTTTGGGTTTTTTTCAAAGAAGATTTTTAAGTTATTGCTATACACATTTAAGGAAAATCAATGACCCCCCCCCTCCGGGGCAGGGCCAATTTTGACCCCAGGGCTTTTATTTGAACAAACTTTGTAGACACTCACTAGAAGATGTTTCATGCTTAATATCTTAACTCTAGCTATTTGGGTTTTTTCAAAGAAGATTTTTTAAGTTTTTGCTATACATATATAAGGAAAATCAATGACCCCCGGGGCGAGGCCAATTTTGACCCCAGGGCTTTTATTTGAACAAACTTGGTAAACACCCATTAGAACATGTTTCATGCTAATTATCTTAGCTCTAGCTCTTTGAGTTCTTTAAAAGAAGATTTTTTAAGTTTTTACTATATGCATATAGGGAAAATCAATGACCCCTGGGGCGGGGCCAATTTTGACCCAAGGGCTTTTCTTTGAACAAACTTGGTAGACACTCATTAGAAGATGTTTCATGCTAAATATCTTAGCTCTAGCTCTTTGGGTTCTTTAAAAGAAGATTTTTTAAGTTTTTACTATATGCATATATAAGGAAAATCAATGACCCCCTGGGGCGGGGCCAATTTTGACCCCAGGGCTTTTATTTGAACAAACTTGGTAGACACTCACTAGAAGATGTTTCATGCCAAATATCTAAGCTCTAGCTGCTTGGGTTTTTTAAAAGAAGATATTTAAAGTTTTTTCTTTCGGTTGCCATGGCAACCAGAGTTCTGCATGGAATTAAATTCTTTGAACAATTTTTAAAGGTGACCACCAAAGGAACATTCCTGTGAAGTTTGGATGAAATTGGCTTAGTGGTTTATGAGGAGATGTCATTAAAAGTAAAAATTTAAGGACGGACGGACGCCGGGTGGACGGATGACGGCCTGACGCCGGACGAAAAGCGATCACAAAAGCTCACCCTGTCACTTTGTGACAGGTGAGCTAAAAACAAAAAGCAACTAAGGTGTGACTCTGATGCCATTACCAGGTTGAGTAGGTAAAGCTCTTCCTCTGTTTTTCAGGTCCAGCAGAAAAACTGTTGAGCTTAAGAAAAAAAATGAATAATTTTCTAAAATTGAATATATTATAAATAAATATCTTCTAGACCAATTTCTCACTGATAGCCATTTTTTTGTCCAGCAGTCAAAGTTAATGCAAAGTTAGGCAGTCATTCATAGTTGCTTTCTAGAAAACAATTTGTCCTTGTTGATAAATAAAAATTATTCTGTGAGTATTTGTCACACTGGTCAGTACACGAGTACTGTCCTTAATCTTATTAACACAGGGATAAATCACGACACTCCCATCGCACCATTTGTTTTCTTGGTACCCCCATTGAAACTGTTATCCGCTTCTGCATTGTCAAATGAAGTACTATCTGGTGTTTTTGGAGGGATATCTCTTTCTGGACTACATTGACCTCCATCATTTAGAATATCAGATCCCACGTCCTCGCCAGTTAGTTGACTGAGGCTCAGTCTGGTTGCATGGATACGGAAATGAAGTCGGGACTCTAATAAATAACTTTTATAGTTTTTCCTGCAATACAAATGCAATACTTCGCTGATAAACAAAATGAGTATGGTAATTGGCTAAATTTAAATCATAATAACAAACATCAATTCTTTTTGGTTGGGTTTTATGTCACACAAACACAGTATAGGTCATATGGTGACTTTCCATCTTATGGTGGAAGAAAACTTCCAGTGGCTTTCTTTCCATTATTTCAGGTACAAATGGGCACCAGAGTAGAACCAAGGAAATTCTGTCAGCTAGCTGGATAGCTTCCTCGCTTCCCTATTAGAATTCGAACCCACAGCATTGAGGGACAAGTGGCCTAAAGTCCACAACCATAACCACTTGGCCACAATGCCCCTCAGCTGTGTGTTCATTAGAAACTTATGTCATTCTGATTACGAAAATATGCACCAATCTCTTTAACACAACAGACTGTGGGTTCAAACCCCATCAGAAGACTTTAGCAAGGAACTTTGCTTAGTACTGGTTGGTTCCAGTGTCTGTTAGCTCATAGCTTCTTTCACAATCAAACTGTAAAAAATCTATATACACTAATCTCAGTTAATTAATTCCATGGATGGAAAATAAATTCTGTTCACAAAATTTTTACTTACATGTCTCAGACAATTGGTTTACGTATTAATTTCTTAAAACGGTATAAAGCTATTCAAGTGTATTATATAGAACAAAATATTTTCATAAGATTTATAAAGAGTAATATTATATTGTTTCCATAAATTTATTGCCGATTCTCGAAAGTTTAAAGAGAGAATGTCTCTGTTATTAAACACACATGAATATTTTATGTAAATATATGTACAATAAAATGTTCAGGTCCAAATATTATCCTACAGTTTTAAGTAGACTTTTAACCATTTATTAATGATCTCTTTCATGCACGATTCACTCCCAGGTAAAATACAAACATTTTTCTTTCATACAGGTATTTTACAAAAATTCAAACAATAATTTTGTACACTACAGGCAGCAGATATATAGCTTTATACACTTTATATCACAGAAATATATGTATTGATAAAATAAATGTATGTATATACTTGGCCTTCTCCAGATATGACTTCACATGTTTGAAACGCTTCTGTTCTAAACAAAGTATGGCCAATTCAACTGTGGCATATGGTGGCAGGAAAGTGTCGTACTTGATTTTTTTCTCACTGTAAAAATATTTTGAAACATTTTTTAACATGACCACATTTTAACTTATGCATTTTAAATCAATATCTTTTTTTAGACATTTTTTTCTTGCTATTTCAAAAAGAATTTAATGATTTTAGGTAGATAAAAGTCAATTTAAAAAGATACATAATTTTTACAACATAAATGAAGAGTAAACAGCCTATGTTTCATTGTTTTAATGAATAAAAAGTTTAGTTACAACTTACAAATCTCAAATAATGACATCAAATGTATAACAGAGTAATACACCTTTCAAAATTCACTGATAAACAATTGTTCTATAAACAATTCTGGAAAAGAGAAATCCCTCAAGAGCAATGAAATTAAAGACAAACAGTTGAAAATTCAGTCTGTTTGATCAAATCTGGTCATGAGAGATAATGAAACGGTGCCACATGTCACACCCCATGGCACCAGTATAAGTGGTACTCAATTCACTACAGTGAAAACTGGAATTCCACAATACTGGATTGTCTTAACGTCTCATTATGATTAACATTTTTGCCAAAACATTTCCAATTCTGTTTATTGCAATGGACACAAAATTGCCTAAAAACCAAGGACATACATAACATTATAACAAAATTGTCATATAAAATATGGCATTTGTGACGAATGTATTTAATTTCAGTGTTCTTTGCAGGAACAATTTCTAATTCAATTCCTTACTTTTCAATAACTTCTAGGAAGCACTGTTCTGCCTGCAGTAATTGTCCCCTAAATTTCTGACATACACCTTTTAACAATAACACCAGACAATAATCATCCACATAGTTCATATAACTCTCTGAAAATATACCATACAATATACAATAATATACCATCAAGACAGCTATGATAACCTTGCATCTTTCAATTATGAACCATTGCTAGACATAATTATAATTTTTACAATATACATATAGAAGAAGGTAATATTCAAAGTCACCCAGGGGCCTTATTTGAATTCACATGCAAAAGTATACCAGTGGTCCAAAATCCAAATTCAGTTTAGTCATTGATTAAGTCATTGATTTATCTAGAACTCTGCAAGTCGAATGTGTCGCCTTGTGCACAGTATAGCTGTCACTTGGGCATTTTCTTCTTAAGTATAGGTTAATTATAAACACCGCTCTTACAATGAACATGTATCTTTAACTTCAGTGGCATTTGAACTGATTGTAACAATGTTACATCAGGATTAATAAAGCTGTTATATTAACAAAAATAAAAATACCATTAGAAAAGTTTTACACTGACAGATCAAATGGAGGAGTATGTGATGGATTCTTAAGCACTGCACTTCAGGTCAATGAAAAAAGCTTATGTACCAAATTTGGAGTCAATCAAACTTATAGTGACCAAGTTATAGACAGGAGTGATTTAAAGAAAATATTAATGCTAGAGGCATTTTATAGTACAAGTAATATATTGAGTGTTTTAACCTAATATGGGTATGCTGAAGACGATGAGGGTGGATACCAAGAAAATAAAATTGACCTTGACCTTCTTAAGGTCAATTCAAAATAGCCGCTTAAAAATACTAAAATAGGTCATTAAAACTATGATACAATATGATGCAATTTATTATTCTTGTCAAAATCAAATGATTATTCAATATGATCAGATTTTTATGAGATTGGCCACCAAATATAGCGATTATAAGCCTAATGGCTCAATTAACAGTAAATACAACACTGTTTTACTAGCACGTTAAGGTATAAGACTAAGATTGAAAAAAAATCACTTTAATTTTTTGTTAACTTGACTTATATTGAACAATAAACTTAGTTTATAAATATTACCAAAGAATAAATATTTCGTAATAACAAATTAATATTTCGTAATAACAAATTAATATTTCGCAATAACGAATCAATTCCGGGAGAAAGTGTGGAAAATGTCACTTCATGTGTTCCGTAATTTTCAACATTATTTGTAGCTATGATTTTTTTTAAGTTGTTCATTTTGTTTTCATATATTTTGCACTAATTATGGTATTTATGGTTTAAAATGAGTATTTAAAAATCATTTTGAAATGTTAAAAAGTGTCATTTCAATGCAATAAACACAACACAAACCGAGACAAAAAGTGTTTTAAAAATATACTGCGCCCCCCACAAAAAAAAAACAAACAAACAAAAAACAACAGGTCTTAAAAAATGGCAACAGTAGGAATCGAACCATAGACCTCTTACACATCAGTCAATCACTTAACTGGCTGTGCTACTGCGGAAGTAACGATGACGTTTACAATTTTAGCAGGTATGACTTTTACTAACATTAGTTTCATAGTTTTTTTATTTTATGCTTTTCAGTGGATTACTGATTTATTCGTGAAAATTATATTTGATAATTTCACAGTGAAAATTATCAAAATATAATTTCACACTTTTCAATGACGAAACTACTTTCTTAAGATTTTCCCCATGTGGTACCTCAATTTTATTTTTGCTGACAATTCTGACAATGTCAGGCTGTTTCGAGAGAAGCAAGCTGAAATTGATAAATAACTTAAATGCCAAAAGTAATAAAAGAAGAAAACTTACTTCTATTCATCTAAATTACCAATCAGGTAATTTCGTCTCTTAATTTTTTGTTTCATTTTTACAATCTGAATAATACATTCCTTCCACATGCAAAACTGCTCTTGATGACATTTGGGCATATTTAAGTTTAAAAATAAGTGACTATTTAAAGTTAGAGTTAAAAACAACAACAACAATAACAACACGAGTCATAAAATGTCTGAAAGCGGGAGATTGCTACGTGTGCTTGGTATACCATAGCAGCTGTCGAAAATTTTGGAATTCAGTCACGGTTTTGAGAAAATTCTACAAGAAGATTATCACATCATTTGATATACAGTTTCCTTTCCGAGTACCCTCCAATAAATTTCCAATCTTAAAGTAACAGCAAAGTTATCTATAAAATATTATTTGTTATAAATCGAGTAATATTTTCTTTGACCATATATAATAGTCACGTGGGTTGGCTACATAGTAGAGGTGTTAAAATATAATTGTAATACACCCTTTGTTAGCCATTGAAATAGTATTTTATGTATAAAGGATTTTCAAAAATGGTTATTATTCAGAGCGGGCGCTATGGTGCAGTGGTAACACTGTCTGCCTACAAATCAAGGGGTCGTGAGTTCGATCCCCCGCTACTCCACTGAACGAATAAATGATTGCAAGACTGACAAAACCAGGACATAGACACAGAATGACGGCAACGATAGAAACAAGAGAAGACCTTAACGGAACAGGAAACAAGTACTGAAAATACAAGACCGAAGACGACGACCGATAACAGAAGGAAGAACAGAGTCAAGGACCGCTAACAGAAGAAGAGAGACAGAGACCGATAACAGAAGAACTGACAACAAGCGAACAGTTACGAGGATTGATTACAGAAGGACAGAGACAGGGACCGATAACAGAAGAACTGACAACAAGCGAACAGAGACGAGGACTGATGACAGAAGAGCAGGGACAGGGACCGATAACAGAGACGGAAACCGATTACAGAACAGGACAGGGACTGATAACAGAGACGAGGATTGATAACAAGTCAGTACAGACGAGAACTAACAACTGAGAACTGAGACTAGGACCGATTATGAAGAACGAAGATCACGACCAATAACAGAAGAACTGACAACAAGAGAACTGCGACGAGGACCGATAACAGAAGAACGCAAGTCACGACCAATAACAGAAGAACTGACAGCAGAGAAGTGCGACAAGGACTAATAACAGAACAACGAAGATCACGACCAATAACAGAAGATCTGACAGCAGAGATATGCGACGAGGACTAATAACAGAAGAACGAAAGTCAAGACCAATAACAGAAGAACTGACAGCAGAGAAATGCGACAGAAGAATAAAAGTCACGACCAATAACAGAAGATCTGACAGCAGAGAAATGCAACAAGGACTAATAACAGAAAAACGAAAGTCACGACCAATAACAGAAGATCTGACAATAAGAGAACTGCGACGAGAACCAATAACAGAAGAACGAAGGCGACGACCGATCAGAAAAACGAACACCAAAACCCAAGAGTACTCAGAAAAAGGTGCCTTTAATAATGTGTATTTTGCATGCACACGTTTTAACCTCCTCATACATATTTACGCTGTGCAAAATAAGTAGGCATCTGAGTAGCCACTCTAATGCTTGCATAGAGTGCAAGATAAAATCTAGCAGATAGGGCAGGAAAGAGTGTAGTGTTCGCTGCGTAAACCCTTAATATGTTTAAATGCCTTAAAATTTTCAGTAATATCTTTAAATATTACTTCTATATTACTATTATATTAGCCTATAGAAAAAATGTCTGCCATCTTGGATTTTTTCGGCAATATTGGATTTATTTTTTTTTAAATTATGTTTTGGTGTCTAATTTGTTTTTACCTAAACATACTTTCTGACAAATTTCAGACTTTTCCTTTCCTTAAAATTTATATTTGATATATCATCCATTTATGATAAAGAAATTTGGCGGCCATTTTAGTGGTCATTTTAAATGGCCATTTCAATGGTCAAGATCAAGTTTTTCAATTAGGTATCCACCTTTATCGGATTAAGCATACCTTAAATAGGTAAAATACACCAAGATACCACTTGTACTACAAAATGCCTCTAGCATCTTATAGAGAGCCAAATTCTCAAAATCAGTCCTGTCTATTATGCTCTGGACAAGGCTATTAAGTAAGAAAATTAACAAAGGGCAATAACTTAACAAGAGGGCCATGATGGCCCTGAGGTCGCTCACCTGTATATAGGCCCCCACCCCCCCACAACGTTGCAGGGCCAATTTTAACCCAAGGGCTTTTATTTGCACAAACTTGGTAGACACCCATAAGAAGATGTTTCATGCTAAACATCTAAGCTCTAGCTCATTGGGCTTTTTAAAAGAAGATTTTTTTTAAGTTTTTACTATACACATATAGTTAAAAACAATGATACCCCTGGGGCAGGGCCAATTTTGACCCCAGGGCTTTTATTTGAACAAACTTGGTAGACACCTATTAGAACATGTTTGATGCTCAATATCTTAGCCATAGCTCTTTGAGTTCTTTAAAAGAAGATTTTTTAAGTTTTTACTATATGCATATAGGGAAAATCAATGACCCCCCGGGCCGGGGCCAATTTTGACCCAAGGGCTTTTATTTGAACAAACTTGGTAGACACCCATTAGAACATGTTTCATGCTAAATATCTTAGCTCTAGCTCTTTGAGTTCTTTAAAAGAAGACTTTTTAAGTTTTTACTATACACATATAGGGAAAATTAATGACCCCCCGGGGCGGGGCCAATTTTGACCCCAGGGCTTTTATTTGAACAAACTTGGTAGACACTTATTAGAACATGTTTTATGCTAAATATCTTAGCTCTAACTCTTTGGGTTCTTTAAAACAAGATTTTTTAAGTTTTTACTATATGCATATAGGGAAAATCAATGACCCCCTGGGGCGGGGCCAATTTTGACCCCAGGGCTTTTATTTGAACAAACTTGGTAGACACCTATTAGAACATGTTTGATGCTCAATATCTTAGCCATAGCTCTTTGAGTTCTTTAAAAGAAGATTTTTTAAGTTTTTACTATATGCATATGGGGAAAATCAATGACCCCCCGGGACGGGGCCAATTTTGACCCCAGGGCTTTTATTTGAACAAACTTGGTAGACACCCATTAGAACATGTTTCATGCTAAATATCTTAGCTCTAGCTCTTTGGGTTCTTTAAAAGAAGATTTTTTAAGTTATTACTATATGCATATAGGGAAAATCAATGACCCCCTGGGGCGGGGCCAATTTTGACCCCAGGGCTTTTATTTGAACAAACTTGGTAGACACTCACTAGAAGATGTTTCATGCCAAATATCTAAGCTCTAGCTCTTATGGTTTTTTAAAAGAAGATATTTAAAGTTTTTTCTTTCGGTTGCCATGGCAACCAGAGTTCTGCATGGAATTAAATTCTTTGAACAATTTTTAAAGGTGACCACCAAAGGAACATTCCTGTGAAGTTTGGATGAAATTGGCTTAGTGGTTTATGAGGAGATGTCATTTAAAGTAAAAGTTTACGGACGGACGACGGACGGACGGACGCCGGACGGACGCCGGACGAAAAGCGATCACAAAAGCTCACCCTGTCACTTTGTGACAGGTGAGCTAAAAATCATGAAGTGCCCAAGTTATGCTCTGGACAAGGCTATTAAGTAAGAAAATTAACAAAGGGCAATAACTTAAAAATCATGAAGTGCAGAGTACAAGTTCTTGTGCACTTCACTTTTTCTCAAAAAGATCTATCATCCTATGTAAGATTCAAGTCAATAGCTTTTAAAGTGTAGGAGAATTGGCCTGGATAAAAAATAAAGTATTATAATTAACAAAGGGCAATAACACTAAAATCATGAAGTACAGAGTACAAGTTCTTGTGCACTGCACTTCTTCTCAAAAAGATCTATCATCCAATGAAGTTTTATGTCCATAGCTTTTATAGTTTAGGAGAAATGGCCCGGACAAAAATAAAATATGAAAATATGAAAGGGCAAAAACTTAACAAGAGGGCCATGATGGCCCTGAAGTCGCTCACCTGTATATAGGCCCACAGAGCGAGGCCAGTTTAAACCCCAGGGCTTTTATTTGAACAAAATTGGTAGACACCCATTACAAGATGTTTCATGCTAAACATCTAAGGTCTAGCTCGTTGAGTTTTTAAAAAACAGTTTTTACTATACACATATAGTTAAAAGCAATGACATCCCTAGGGCGGGGCCAGTTTTGACCCCAGGGCTTTTATTTGAACAAACTTTGAAGACACTCACTAGAAGGTGTTTCATGCTTAATATCTTAACTCTAGCTAGTTGTTTTTATTCAAAGAAGATTTTAAGTTTTTGCTATACACATATAAGGAAAATTAATGTCCCCCGGGGCAGGGCCAATTTTGACCCTAGGGCTTTTATTTGAACAAACTTTTAAGACACTAACTGGAAGACACTAACTGGAAGATGTTTCATGCTATATATCTAAACTCTAGCTATTTGGGTTTTTTCAAAGAAGATTTTTTTAAAAAGCTTTTGCAATACACATAATAACCCCAGGGCTCTTATTTGAACAAATTTGGTAGACAACCATTAGAACATCTTTCATGCTAAGTATCTTAGCTCTAGCTCTTTGGGTTCTTTAAAAGAAGATTTTATAAGTTTTTACTATATGCATATAGGGAAAATCAATGACCCCCCGGGGCGGGGCCAATTTTGACCCCAGGGCTTTTATTTGAACAAACTTGGTAGACACCCATTAGAAGATGTTTCATGCTAAATATCTTAGCTCAAGCTCTTTGGGTTCTTTAAAAGAAGATTTTTTAAGTTTTCACTATATGCTTATAGGGAAAATCAATGACCCCCTGGGGCGGGGCCAATTTGACCCCAGGGCTTTTATTTGATCAAACTTGATATACACTCACTAGAAGATGTTTCATGCCAAATATCTAAGCTCTACCTCTTTTGGTTTTTTAAAAAGAAGATATTTTAAGTTTTTTCTATCGGTTGCCATGGCAACCAGAGTTCTGCATGGAATTAAATTCTTTGAACAATTTTCAAAGGTGACCACCAAAGGAACATTCCTGTGAAGTTTGGATGAAATTGGCTCAGCGGTTTATGAGGAGATGTCATTTAAAGTAAAAGTTTACAGACGACGTACGGACGCCGGACGAAAAGCGATCACAAAAGCTCACCCTGTCACTTTGTGACAGGTGAGCTAAAAATTAAGAAGTGCAAAGTAACAATTCTTGTGCTCTGCACTTCGAGTCATTAAAAGAAACATGCATACCAAGTTTGGAGTCAATCTGACTTATAGTGACTGAGTTATGCTCCGGACAAGTCTAAGGGGACACTGACAACTTCCCCGATGCTTCGACAAAAGTAACCCCTATATGTCGCCTTTTTCAGCTAGTTTTCTTCAAAAAAGTCAAGCTAAAATAATCAACATTTCTTTCATACAAAAAAAACTATTTATAACTTTGTAATACATGCACATTCTATGTATACCTTTATTATGTAGTATATGGTTAATGGTTGTTTCCACAGTTACCATTATTGGTTCTAGAAGGTCCTGCCTTGTCCCAATAATATTAAACCCGTTCCATGTGTATATCAGTTCCTGCAATATACGTATATAAATCATATTTTTATATAAGTCTCTGCATTATAAAACATGCATAAATTGATCAAATCACAAAACCCTGACAATAAACTTTGTGAATGGTAAGATGGCTTTCACCTTGAAAATACAAGATTCGGTAGTAAATTATACAGTCCCATCTTTTGTTTTCTATATATGTATTTTTATATATAAGTTTTAGAAAACATACCAATGCTGGAAGAGTGAGGTAGCCATTTTGCTCAGAAAATCTCTTAGCCTTGAACACAGCAAATTTCTCTATTGGTATTGATTTACCTGCAATTCTCTGCTTCAACCTGGGAACTTCTCTTTGAAAAAAAAACAACAACAAAAAAATAAATGTTTTAAATCAAGAAAATGGTCATTTAATCTACTAGTGTTTTACATTACTGAATCTGCTGAACATTTGGAATGAGTTTGTCCTACATACATTTTTTAACTGTCTACAGAGTGAAATAAGAAGGACATGATGGCACAAGAACACTAGAACTGTGTGTTCAGGTGAGCTTAAACAAAAGGGCCATAACTATGACAATAATGACCAAATCACAAACTCTATCAATATGCATCAAGGTTCTTCTTTACAATACTTCTAAAAAAATTTGATTGAAATCCCTCGAGCAATGAAGGGGAGTCGTGCACAGAAGAAATTGTTAATGCTTAACCTACTGACATTCATCTGTCTAATAAACATATATCTCATTTAAAAAAGAGCACACCACATGTGGTGATAATGCTTGTCTGATAAAAATTCTAAATTAAAACAAGGGGCATAACTGCAAAAAATATTGCTTTCAGAATTATACCACTTGTCTAACAACTGCACTTTGTCATGATAAACAAGCATTCCAAGTTTGATGTTGATAACTTTAAAAAAATGTTTAAATAACGGGCTGGATTGAAGTTTTAGCACAATGACAACAGCAACAAACAAGAGCTGTCGGTAGGACAGCAACGCTCGACTATTCTTAGTGCTTGATAGTAAAAAAATGCTTGATACAGTTACCTCCTCCTGTTTACAGGTTCGGGTCATGATGGTGAACAAGTGTGCAAAGTTTCAAACATGGGTGAAAGTTGGAAATTTAGAAAATCCTGAAAAATAAGCTGGGGGTCTAGGGGGCCGCTAGGGCCCCCAGTGGGTCCAGGGCAAAGCCCTGGTGAGGGGTCCAGGGGGGCGAAGCCCCCCGGAAGCTGAGAGAAAATGGCAAAACAGAGGACCTTAGGAAGCATCTCAAATATATTCACAACCTCATTTACACTTTGTAAAAATCATTGCAAAAACATAACAGTTAAACACTTATTATAATGAAAATTAACAAAAGAAATGGAGTCATTTGCAAAATATTTTTTTCATTTGTACTTTTTATATTCAAGAAGTTAATAGGAATTCAATTGAATATTCTGAGATTACTAATGAATGAATTTAATTTGCTTCCTACATAATATTATATCTAAATTATTTTTATAAATTTACAAATAAGACAAGAACCTAATCAATTTCAATAACAGTTTTAATAAAAAATAAACAAAATCACATCTTTAAAAGCTATTCATACATACATATACTTCATACAAAAGCTTGACCATGTTGTATTTACAAATTTACAATGCCACTAATATTGACAATTTAAGCTGTTTTTATTCTTTTCCATTTCCTAGCACTTTCATTAGCCTCACTTTTCCTTTTCTTACTGTTTCTTGACACAATCCGGTTTTTCAATCTTACCAAGTTTGCCAGTTTTTTAGCTTTTTCAATCTTAAGTAATTGAACAGAGGTGCTTAACTTCTCTTCATGTTTTTTCAAATCTTCCACCCTTTTGCTTTGCAAGTATTTCCTATAAGTGTCATAGGCATTAATGCATGCAGATTTCATGCTGTTGTTAACAATCAGGTCTGTGCTTTTTACATTCTTTTTCCTTAATGCAGTTTTGACTATTGCTACTGCTTCATAGTTTACAACAGTTAACTTTGTCCTGTCTTTCTCCACAATATCATCCATAATATTGAAAGTAGATTCAATCAAAGGCCCACTGAAAATACATAATACAGTCTTCACAAGCTTTTGCATCATTGGGTAGCGCACTTCATCATAATTGGTAAGGGAGAAGACTTTTGACCAATACATGGTGTCTATTCTGTCATCTTCCTTGTAGTCTTGTGACAGATCCTTCACTTGTCTGTTTATATTATACTTGTCTACTTCCACTCACAGTTGACCATTTTCTTCATGTGTAAGGACATTGGGTAATTTACTTGAAATTTCCTTAAACGACACAGCTGTCTGGTTATGTCCTACCATATGGGGGTCTAACACTGACATGAGGCGTATAGTTTTGTTGTCAAGTGGTAGCTGGAGAAGTTTTTTGGCAGCCATGATATACCCTGTTCGTAAGCGACTATACAAACTGGTTACCCAATGACTGCATGCTTTATCCATCCTAGCCTTATTCAGGTCTGCATAGGCATACTTGCCTACATTCAAGTCTTTGTCAGATTTTTGGATACCTCTATCAGTCACATCAACCTTTAAAAGTTTCCTTACACTAGAATTGGGAATATATTCTGGCTTTATGAAAAAGCTGAACAATTCTGTTGTTACATCATACATACGGCTGTGTAGGGTGTGAATTAGTGGTTTCTCAGATTGGAATTCCTTGACATACCCATGGAATTCCATCAATAATCCCCTTATAAGATTGAGCTTGATAAGTGTTTCCCTTTTTTGCTGAAACAGGAGGTTAAGGATTCGATCTTTTCTGTCACTGCTTGTTGCTGACTTTTGTTGTTTTTCTTGTGCTAATTGGAGAAGAGTAATTGCTGCTTGAGCTGCCTCAGAAACTTTTCGTTCTTTAAATATTTTACTGATACTAGACCTGAAAAGCAGATGATTAAGTTTAAATGGCACTAAAGCTTGATAAAGAAATGAAAACTTTCAATATATTATCTGTTAAAGATTTATTTTTGAAATATTTTTAAGTGTTGGTTCTCGTTCAAATTAAGGTATCATTAAACTGATGACTAGTTAATACAGTTATAACATACATATGCTTAACAAAAATATAAACAGTTTAGTGGATCAATTTTAATGTATAATAAATGTAATTAAAATATATGTTATATTATTAAGCAGCTATGTTATTTCTATAGTAGCCAATACCGCCATAATGTTTCAAAGACTGAAATTAAGATACAGGAGGAAAATAAGCAGTTATAAATTGCCAGATGAGAAGGTCCTTGAAAGATAAGGAAGACTATACAGAGAAATGAGAAAGCAGAAATAACTAATTGAGACATGTACTATGATAAACAACTAAATGTCCAGCACCCACATATAATATACCACAACATTTACTTTCTCTCACCTGAAGTTTTTTTTTCAACTGCAATATAATAACAATACTGTTACACAAAATTTACCTAAAAGATAATGATTTTTACTTCTGCTAAAGATTAATTTCTAAACAGACATTTAAACATACTTTTAGTTTTAAGTATTGATATTAATGATAAGTTCTGAAAGGACATTAAAGCTTTGGATTGTCAATTTCTTTATAGTTATGATAATATTACAAACCTATATTGTGTTTTCTCTTCTTCTGTCAAAAAGCTGTAGTAATATACTATCAGGTAGTCCTGTAGATCAATCACTCGTGTGGCAACATCAAGCATCTGAAGGAATCTACTGGATATTGGACGAACTAAATGCTTTGGCGTTGTGGCGTTCATAAGTGACTGAAGTTCATGGAACAACTGCCTTACTTTTGGTGACTCTTCTATATCATAATACAAGTCAGAGCAGAATGCTTGAATGCCTTCATCAACATTGCTAAGTAATGTCTTTGCCACATTATTCATCATGTGAACTGTGTCTCCACTGACATCAAGCAGATGGGGATTTTTCTCGCGTGCAAGTGCTTCCACACCACCTCTGATCCCCCTCATTGTGCTGCAGTTATCCATCAGTAAACTGACTATCTGGCTCCATTTGATCTCATATTCCTCAAGGACACTTTCAAGCGATTCCATGATGTTGACTGCTGTAGCCAAATTTTGTTTACGTGACCCAAGATGTCTTAGCGCAACTTGTTTTTCTTCATCATCATAATACTGGACTATGACATTCAAGATTTTGTCGTTATTGTTGTTTGTTGCCTCATCAATGTTAAGAGATAACATTTGGCCTCTCAGTTTCTGCTTCAGCTCATCCTTAAAGCTTTTAGCCACTCCATGTGTTGTTATATAGGTAGCACTGGACTTTGATAAAGTTGTTTTATCAAGGGCTGGCTTATCCTGGCTCAATCTTTTGGCAAAATTTATTAAATCTTCAGCTATAGTAAAAGGGAGACAGTGTTCACTTATGAATGCTGCAGTGATCGCTCTCTGCTTAGCAACTCTGTTTTGCATCGACTCGGTCTCTGGTTTGGCTTTAGAAGACCCCGGCAGAACCTGTAAATACATTGTTTTTATATAGCTCTACAGGTTCTAAAAATGTACTAAGCTACAACAGGAAATGATGAATCAATCTAAATGTAATGGATTCTGAATTAACCAGTAAAATAAAATTAAAAATAAGGTTTTAAATGAATACCCATTAAAGAATTTACCCTTATAAAATTGGGCATATTTTTTCCCTTAGTACAAAGTTTTCTTTCAATTAAATCGACATATAGGATTAATGGATTTTTCAAAGAGTTGGAGTTAAGACAGAACTGAGAAAAGTTTGAATTGCTATTATGACTCATATTGACAACTGTCCGTGTTCATAGTAGCACTTTTCTCCAGTTAGATAGCTAAATAAAACTCACTAACCTGATTTGATTTAACAGTCCTATGGTTTGCCTTGTGTTTTGCATCATCAGCATGAACACGAAAAGCCTTTTTCCCGCTAGACTTATAATTAATAGTTTTTCCACAGACATCACAAAACGCCATTCCAGGAACTTCTATTTTTCTCAACCATTCTCCAAATTTCAGACCCTGTACATCTCTTTCTTCTTGCCATTCCCATCTCCATTTGTTTTTCAAACCTTTTTCTAACAATTTAGTATCTGATTTTTTTTCTAAGAACTTCATTTTAATCGTTCCTCAGCTTCCAAAGAGCAGTTTAAAAGTAAACAAAGAAGGGAAATCCTGATCTATAAATAGTATCGTAAACGTCATATTGCAGGTACCCTTACATCTGGTTCCCTGTCTTATTATGGTTTCCATCCAAGATTTTAGAAGTGCGCAGGGGACCAGTCTACAGGTACCAGAAAATCGGTACACCTCTGTGTTTTTCCTTGCACTGAGTTCATAGCGGAGTTTGCAAAAAAAAAGGAGAATCTGCAGTCTAAATTTATTTGTATGAACAGAATTTTTTGTCATTCGTGACCTACTTTCTCAAAAAAAAAAAATCTCAGAAGGCATGCACCCTACCCCACCCATTTTCTCAACGAATTTACACGTTTCACAGAAATGACCCAGAAAAAGACGGAAAATCCGGAAATCCGGCATAATCCGGAAAACTTTCACCCATGGATTCAAAGCCATATGTCAATGGACTTTGAAAATATTTGAACTATTACAAAAACTTTAACGTAAATTGTAAGTCAAAAAAGGGGCATAATTCTGTCAAAATGCTTGATAGAGTTACTTCCTCCTGTTTACAGGCTGGGGTCATGATGTTGGACAAGTGTGCAAAGTTTCAAAGCCATATGTCAATGGAATTTGAAAATATTTGAACTATTACAAAAACTTTAACGTAAATTCTAATTCAAAAAGGGGCATAATTCTGTCAAAATGCTTGATAGAGTTACCTCCTCTTGTCTACAGGTTGGGGTCATGATGGTGAACAAGTGTGCAAAGTTTCAAAGCCATATGTCAATGGACTTTGAAAATATTTGAACTATTACAAAAACTTTAACGTAAATTCTAAGTTGAAAAAGGGGCATAATTCTGTCAAAATGCTTGATAGAGTTACCTCCTCCTGTCTACAGGTTGGGGTCATGATGGTGAACAAGTGTGCAAAGTTTCAAAGCCATATGTCTATGGACTTAGAAAATATTTCAACTATTACAAAAACTTTAACATAAGTGGTTACGCCGACGCCGACGCGGACGCCGACGCTCGGGTGACTGCAATAGCTCTACTTATTCTTATCGAATAGTCGAGCTAAAAAGTGATCAAAATAACATGACTTTTTCTTCAAAACATTCGAGTAAAAAAAGAAATTCAAACAAATTTACCCCATGAGATATTGCAGATGCTCTTTGGATTCTTCAGTCTGATCATCACACATCATGAGGAATGCCGCCTTCTGGTATGTATATGTTGCTTTACTCCACCTACTTTCTTTACACAGTATCTCCGCATACTTCATACCCATCAACCAGTCCCCCTTAAAACTGAAAAATATAAAATTTGAGTCACTTAACTTAAGTTACAAGGCTACCCAATTATTTAAAACAAATACACAACTTCTCTTGGTACTGAATGTTGAGAAGAATGCGGATATATTTTTTTCTATGTTTATTGTATTTTGATCTGTGGTTTGGCACTGAATTGTTGAAACTGGCACTGGCACGTTTATTTTGACATGTTTTTTTTAACTAAATTCACGATTTTTTATAATCGGGGTATAACAAGAGTTATCTTGTTTTGTTTTGTTTAGTTCATTTTAAATTGAGAAAAGTAAAAGAATTATTATAATAAAAATTGAATAAATAATAGTTTAAAGAAGGAATAAGAGTTGTATTAATTCTGGCATATTAGAGAATGTTACATTGTAGGTTTCTGTGAAGTTTTTGTTGATTTCTAGTCGGGGGTTGCTACAGACAGATGTACAGACAAAGCTGTTACTATATGCATTCACATGGACATAAAAAAATGTTGTTAATTTAGTGACAATGATTAAACTTAGGTGCTGCCTGTTTCTCTATATTGATTTGAAACTGCATCAGTTATACAGCAACTTGAAAATTTATCAATGACACTATATCATTATATCAGTGTCTCCTATTAAATTAAGGACTTATTTTGTAACATACACTTGCAATATGTTAATGTTTTTTTTCTGTATTTGTGGCACCAAATATTTGCGGCATCTCAGACGCTTGTCAACTTACCATAGACACCATATTATCTTTAAAGATGTTCCTGTAACATTCTAAATAATTACTGCCAATGAAACCACATAAGCTCCTAGTAACACTGATGTTGCTTTACTTATCACAATCTCCTACGCAGTGATCACCCCTTACAGCAGGATTAGATCTCTGCCATCACAACAATTTCATCAAGATTTTTGACGATATGAATTTTTTCAATTTCTATATTTATTTTAAAAAGTAAACACGGTTTTGCTAATGTTTCAAGACTATAATGTATTAGATGTAAACTAAAATAAAAAGTAATTTCGAAAACTTAAATATTATCAATATTATGAGAATTTTTTTTAATAATGCACCGTTCCATTCCAAAATAATGGCCGCTTTTGAAAAGGATATTATTAAAGAAATTTATTTTTCATTATTTTGTATATTTTTGATAATTTTTTGAGAAAATATAACGGACGTAGGTACAAAAAGTTAAAAATAAAACAGAAAGAGAAAAATGACGTTAGATTTTCTATGTAACGGTCGATATTTACATTTGAATTTCGATTACGTCATGTGACTTTCATCATCATGTGACGTCTGTGAAGGCAGTGATTACAATTCTGCCAAGGGAGGTAATCAGTGTGAGGAGTTTGTACTTATCAATGAAACCACATAAGCTTTCAGTAACACAGATGTTGTTTAACTTACCAATGACACCACATAAGCTCCCAGTAACATAGATGATGAAACTGTCTCCATTCCTGCTGAGATTCTATAGACTCCTCAAACTTATCTATTGCCTGTAACATAGAAATCAAGTATTAACTTTACACTTAACAATTTTCAGTTTTATAAATGCAAATCCAGTGTAATAAGAAAATGTGCTTTGAAAACATACTGAACATGTTCAAAAAATCATATAACCTGAACTTATGTTTATCCCAAGTACTCCTTCATTAATTGCAGAGGAAATAAAATCTGATAATGTTGATAAGATGATGTCACATTTTGTGCTGGTTATCAAATTCATTAACTGTCAAAGATACTGGTACTAGGTTAAAAAATACTTATTTGTCAGAAAACAGATAACCTACAGTATTTATTCTCATAATTAATACTCCATTTTATTCAAGTAATGGACACAGTTTGCATAACTCTTTATATGTGATAAGTAAATTACAAAATGAACAAGACTTAGAAAATTGTGTCTATTTTTACACTTACTTGATTAATGTGACCCTTTATTTCTTCAACTCTTCCAGCAAAAAAGAGAAACAATGCACCCTGAAATAAGAAAAAAAAAATTTAACAATAGGACTATGATGGACCTAGATTGCTCATCTGAGATATATTCTCAGAAAATATCTGCAGAAGTAAGTATTTAGGTCCATTGATTGGGTGTATCATATGGTTATATGTAAAGGTGTCATGAAAGCTTGGTTCCATGCTCCACAACATGTAAATAGGTTTAAGCTCTGGGCAGAAGATTTTTGAAGATTACCTTTTAAAATCTATTTTTAGATCTTGAGACCTACTTATGCATCAGACTGGAACAATTGATGTAAGATACGTAAAAAATGTAGAGGGCAACCTAAGGATCATAATTATATCCACCTGGTATTTAAGATGGTGTTTAAAGAAATTGTGGGTAATAAAAAACAACAAACAACAGATGACAGACTACTTGCTATCTCAAAAGCTCATCTCAGAGCACTTTGTGCTCAGGTGAGCTAAAAACCATGCATGAAGAAGAGCAATTACACTTTGTCTTTGATAATGAAAACATGATCTTTGATATGGACAATAGTTCCATGATGGACTGACTTCATGTGCAGAGAATATAGATGACTTTTAGTCACATAACAGCAATGCAGTCTTTACCTATACTGATCCCATTTTAATCTAATAGCTGGATTTCTTTTACATAGTATCAGCCAAAATGTACATGGTCATATCAAATATTGATTCTTTTGAATATAATAATAAATTCAAAAAATAATGTCTACTACAGAATACCTTTGGATAATGTTCCAAACATGGTTTTAATAATTTATCTGCCATTTGAATATCTCCATCTGCTAAACCTGATGAAAAAAAATAATTTAATTTTATTGATCAAATATACCTTCACAAATAACACTAATCACTGGAGTTCAATGACAAACCATTTGGTAAATATCATAATTAATACCATGACATTGTGTTATACTGCTATGTAATTCTTTGTTATATATTCTACCATTTTGGATCCATGAGGTAGCAGTGCTGAGATTATGTTATAAATATGTTTGTAGTGTAATATGATATGCTTTTTAGTCACATGCGTTTAACTCAGTGTAGACTTGCTTTGATACCAGTTTGGTGTTCTGGTGATTACTGACCATCGGTCACTCAGACAATAGTACAATGTTGTGATAAAAACATGCACTTTTTTCATCCTATCCAATAAATACCATCATAGTAAACACTATTTTGATAGGCATGATTACATGTATGTATATTGTCCAAGTCAACTGGGCAATGCTACATACATGTATTAAATTCCTTATTTATATGCAATGCAGTTTCACACTTGTAGACTTAGATGTGTTTCCTATATAAGTCTAAATAAAAATGAAACATCCCCGGGGAGGGGCAAATTCGGACCCTAGAGTCAAGATCTATGTAACTTGGTAAAGGACCACATTGTGATGCTACATGCCAAATATCTATGCTCTGGGCAATGTAGTTTATGAGTAGATGATTTTTTGAATATGTTTACAATGCACAGTAACAACTAGGGTGGGGGGACATTACTGTCCCAAGGGGAATAATAAATAGATTATTTGAAAATAAAAATAAACTAGAACTGCCACTGTCATGGCGTGAATACCCCCGCATACCACTTTGTCAGAATCAACAGTGGCCATTTAGAGCTCAAGGACAATGTCCCTGCCAAATCTGAGGTTACTAAGCCAGTGCTATGTATTCTACATGCTTCAAATGTGAAAATGTCAAAATCAATAAACTGCGGACAGGCATTCTTAAGCAATTGAGGGGAAAAGCTTTTTTTAGTCGACCTTTGACCCAGTGACCCTCAAAATCAATAGGGGTCATTTTATAGTCATGATCAACCTCCATGCCAAAAATGAAGACTGTGGGTCAAAGGAATATTAAGTTAATGGGTGGACAATCTTTTTGAAGTCAAAGTCCATGTGACCTTGATCTTTGAACCTCCATGCCAAATATGAAGACTGTGGGTCAAAGGAATCTTAAGTTATTGAGCGGACAAACTTTTTTAGTCAAGGCCCCTGTGACCTTGACCTTTGACCCAGTGTAATAAAAAAAAAAAAAAGGGTTATCTACTTATCATGACTAACCTCCATGCCAAATATAAAGACTGTGGGTCAAAGGTTTCTTAAGTTATTGGGCCGACAAACTATTTGAAATCAAGGCCCCTGTGACCTTGACCTTTGACCCAGTGACCTCAAAATCAAAAGGGGTCATCTACTAATCATGACTAACCTCCATGCCAAATATGAAGACTGTGGGTCAAAAGAATCTTAAGTTATTGGGCAGACAAGCTTTTTATAGTCAAGGCCCCTGTGACCTTGACCTTTGACCCAGTCAACTTAGAATCAATAGGGGTTATCTACTAATCATGACTAACCTCCATGCCAAATATGAAGACTGTGGATCAAAGGTTTCTTAATTTATTGGGCGGACAAACTTTTTAAAGTCAAAGTCCCTGTGACCTTGACCTTTGACCCGGTGACCTCAAAATCAATAGGGGTCATCTACTAATCATGACTAACCTCCATGCAAAATATGAAGACTGTGGGTCCAAGGAATCTTAAGTTATTGGGCGGACAAGCTTTTTGAAGTCAAGGCCCCTGTGACCTTGACCTTTTACCTGGTGACCTCAAAATCAATAGGGGTCATCTACTCATCATGACTAACCTCCATGCCAAATATGAAGACTGTGGGTCAAAGGAATCTTAACTTATTGGGCGGACAAGAAAAAACGGACGGAAGCCCGACGGTTGGACAAGCTGATTCCAGTATACCCCCCTTACAACTTTGTTGTGCGGGGTATAATAAATTGAATTGGATAGGTGAAAAGGGGAATAATCTGTAGCAAAAAAATCGATGTAACTAGAAATGTGTTGAGCTGACACTTACATGTATGACCCACTTCATTTGCTGTCACACTGGCATATTTACATACAAATATTTCATAACAGCCACATTACAGAAAGTACCTAAGACCAGTATTTCACTTAGCCATAGAACTGATCATCTAAAAAAATACAGATTAAACAAACATATGCTGGTATAATCAAACTTACCTAAAACATAACTTACTACAGTATGATATGCTATAAGTATTATTGAACAGAGTGGTCCTCGAAGACTGAAGAATTGTTCACTGCCATGTTCCAACTCTTGTAAACCTAGTTGCTGAAATAAAAACAATATTAATCATCAATCAAATACCTGAGAATATTAATGCTAGGTGATGATTTGCACAATGTCAAGGTCACAGGGCATAATTAAGGTCATCTCAGGGTCAATGAAGTTTATGAGTAGATGATGTTTTGAATATGTTTACAATGCAAGTCTATGGAAACAGTAACAACTAGGGTGGGGGGACATTACTGTCCCAAGGGGAATAATAGATTATTTGAAAATCAAAATAAATAAATTGAATTGGATAGGTGCAAAGGGGAATAATCGGTAGCAAAAAAAAAACATGTAACTAGAAATGTGTTGAGATTTCAACCAAAGTGTGCTTGTTTTCCAAAAGCTGAAGACTGAAGTTCACAAGAGCAGATAACTGGGCATAGGTAAGATAATGCAGGGTCAAAGTTCAATTTCATACTACTGGCATCCAAATTTGAGGGTCATAGCTTAAAAACACACAATCAGATCATTGGCTTAAGTTTAAAAGCATCCAATGACAAAGATTATTCCACACACAATTCTACATATATCTGTTTCAAGGCCATAGCATGAAAACTTCATTGCAGTTTCAAGGAGTTTTTAAAGATATTTTCACTACACAAGTCATTTTAAAGTGACTGCCAGAGTGGGGTATGATTTATGTAACTTTGTAAATGAGGAGAAACATTTAAGTTTACTTTGTATGTCTATATACATGAGGTGACTCCTATGATGGGGCCATAATTTACCTGAGGTATATAAATTATACATGTATAACATAAATTATATAACTTTGTAGAGGTTTCAAAAGGCAATGCTACAAGCCAAATATCTAAGCTTTAAGCATAACTGGGAAGTTTAAAATGTGTTTTCCAATATAAGTCTTTATGATCTGAGTGACTCCATGCGAGGTGCCATTTTTGAACAGAGGACCAGATTTATATAAGATGATCACAAGGTGATGCCATATGCTCATATCTTTAAGACTTATTTACTATATAAATCTATGTAAATGCATGTGGTGAAAAAGGACAAGTCAAATTAATGTTCAGAAAGTTAAATATTTACCTTATTTCCTGAGAATCCAACAAATTCTAACAACTTTAGTATCTTCCCTGGTAACAATGATATCATCTGAAAAAGTTACAACATTTCGTCTTTTTGCTTACTTATACTCTGATTAGTAACAAAGTCAATAATTATTTTTTTAAAAATCCTCAAAGCATCAACAGATATTTTGGTGAAATTACACAGTATTAATAAATGTTTCACTAAAGGTGATTTATACCACCAACATATCCCTCTCTTTCACATAGAGAGGGAAAATTTAAAAAAATCAAAGCAAGAGTTGTCAGTAAGACAAACTGCTTTTATACGATTCAATTGTTGAAAGAAAAAAAAAAAAAAAAAAAAAAAAGTCCTTAAAAGTTCTACTTGGCAGGGTAACAGTACAGTTTTTAAAAACTGTACTAAACTTAAGTGCAATGATGCTAACAATGATGCTGACACCAGGGATGAGTAGGACAGCAGTGATTTCTTTGTACATGTATCATCTTAATAAGATAGCCAAATTCTATGATATCAACGTATAAGAAATATAAATGTTAAAATAATACAATTTTTGATTGGAAAAAATGTTGGATGTCTTTTTCTTCTTTTATATAATATGCATAGTATTTATAATACCTTTTCTTTAAATTTTTCTTTATTTTTTCCAACACAATAAAAATGTTAGGATTGTTGCAAGTCAGGTTTGAAATAAAACAGAATTTTTATCTTTTCAATCATAGAGAATAATTTTTTCTTACAAGATTAAATGAGCCGACCCCCATTTTAACTCCACTTTCAAAATGCTTCTTTTGATTCTCTGACTCGAACTTTCTGTTTGCTAAAAGTTTGGCACAATCTCTGAAATGATAATGTTCAAATTGAAATTACTTGTAATTCAATCCTACAATAATTTTCCTCTATTTGCACAATCAATGGAGGATGAACTGTTAATATTATTTGTTATAAAGTTTTTTGGCAGGTTATATGGCCTTTATAAATGGTTGTTATGTTTATACAGTATAACCTAATATAATAACTGAACTCCACAAGTCAGATGTGTTGCCTTGTCAACAGTATAATAGCTGTCAGTTAGGCATTTTCTTGTTAAATATAGATTATTTATAAAGACTGCTCTTGCAATGTACATGTACCTTTGACTTAAGAGGCATTTGAACTGATTGTAACAAGTTATGTCAGGATTAATAAAGCTGTTATATAACCTAAAATAAAAATACCATGGAAAAGTTTTTCACTGACAGATGAAATGTGCACTGCACTTCAGGTCAATAAGAAAAGCTTGCATACCAAATTTGGAGTCAATTAAACTTATAGTGACCAAGGGCAATAACTCAAAAGTCATGAAATGCATAGTACAAATTCTTGTGCACTGCACTTTTTCTCAATGAGAACTAGCATCCTATGTGGTTTCAAGTCCATAGCTTTTATAGTTTAGAAGAAATGGCCAGGACAAAAATAAAGTATGAAAATTAACAAAGGGCAAAAACTCACTGGACAAGCCTATTAAATATGAAAATTAACAAAGGGCAATAACTCAAAAATCATGTAGTGCAAAGAACAAGTCCTTGTGCACTGCACTTCATCTCAATGAGATCCATCATTCTATTGAGTTTCAAGTCAATAGTTTTTAAAGGTGTAGGAGAATTGGCATGGACAAAAAAATGTATGAAAATTAACAAAAGGTAACTAAAAAATCATAAAGTACAGAGTAATGATTCTTGCACACTTCACTCTGTCTTTAAGACATTGAAAAAAGGTAAGCATACCAAGTTTAGAGTCAATACGACTTAAAGTGACTGAGTAATGCTCTGGACTGGCCTAAGGGGACGCCACTGATGTCAACAAAAGTAACCCCTATATTTGCCTTTTTCAAGGCGCACAAAAAGGAGATTTGTGAACCCTGTATGCTAGAACTATTTGTACTTAATGTCTGGGTAAACATTGTTATTAGCAGTCTTAACACTTACTTGTAAACTTTGTAACATTCACGTATTTTTAGACCACCTTTGACAAAACTGATGAGGTTTTCATCTTGTACAAATGTAAGTAGAGCTCTGATCAACAAGCATTCAGCATAACACAGTTCTGCATGAATTTCCTCTGAAATAATACACAAACAGGCATGACAGTTCTGCATAAATTTCTTCTGAAACAATACACAAATAGGCATGACAGTTCTGCATAAATTTCTTCTGAAACAATAGACAAATAGGCATGACAGTTCTGCATAAATTTCCTCTGAAACAATACACAAATAGGCATGACAGTTCTGCATAAATTAGGCATGACAGTTCTGCATAAATTGCTTCTGAAATAATACACAAATAGGCATGACAGTTCTGCAAGAATTTCGTCTGAAACAATACACAAATAGGCATGACAGTTCTGCATAAATTTTTTCTGAAACAATACACAAATAGGCATGACAATTCTGTAGGTCCAGACAAAAGAAGCCAAGCAGCGGTGTGGCTGAGACGTGTCATACTAGCAATGTAAGGATTGCTGGCCATGTCTTAGTGACATGGGTTCAAACCCTGTCGTGGGCAAGCCATTATATCCGTGAGCAAGAAACTTTACACTCATAGTATAACACTGGTTGGTTCCAGGAACAGATTTGAGAGTGTTTCAATAAGCTTATAGCTTCCAACACACAATCAAACTAAAATAAATTAGTATAAACTATAAAAGAAGTCAGTAAAGTCCCTTAGGTACAGTACGCTCAGCGCGGCTTTTTCAAAACCCGCGTGACCCCGCGGATGAGGTTTACCGCGGACGAAAATTTGCTCAGATATTGTCCGCGTGACCCCGCGGACAGAAAATTTTCACCACCGCGGACATTAATCGGCGGCTGAAACCGTTTCCCCCGCGGAACACAGTGGTAAATTGCGGAGGAACGCGGCGGTCAAACACCGGTCAACGCGGTGGAAACCTTAAATTTTAAAAATTAATAACTGTATTTAAACATCAGTATATATGTATGTACGTACATGTACTGTAACATGTACTGTACATATACATGTAACTATATGTAAAATGTGTTTGTTTTCTTTCTTTTTTGTTGTAATAAAAGTACATGTACAAATGCAGTGTTTTTCTTGTTCATGTTGGGTAATGTATAATATGTCTCCGACATCAAGATAAATCATTGTCGTCGCAACTTCATGGTAGTGAGAAACTTGAAGTCAAATAATGAAAAATTCGGCATATGACATTTATGAAAAAGATACTACAACAATTTATATGCCAGCTTTTGTTTCTTATTTAAAAACTTTGAAAACGTGACCCTCAACAATTTTATTCAGGCAATATTCCAGGACGTCTCTTTCAATTGTTAGATGCGTTTTACTGTTTCTGTTTATTTACATGTTGATCATAAAGTCTTATATTTTATTTGAAACATTAAAAGAAAGCGTATATTTCACCGAAATATACATTAAATGATATTCTTGATTTATCTAATTACAGGTGTGAACGTAATGTATATGTTTTGAAGTTTGTATCAACTGTTGAAGTTTATTTTCATTTTTGTTTTAGTAGTTTGTTTGCTTGTTCTTTTTTATTTTTTTATAGATATTTTTTGCAGAATTTTGTTAAACTTGTATTCACACTCATGGACCTCTTACAGGACATGTACTGTAGCGTCAGTCATCATTGAGAAATCAGCACAAATGTCCTTTTTTTACTAAGTATCATATTTATGGCTCCCATATAGTTTAACAGCAATAATACTTATAGAACCACAAGGAATGAACAAGTAAAGATGACAGTTATAAATGACGATTTCAGTTGTAAAAATATTGGTATGTGGACGAATAGTTTTGTGGACGTTTATAACAAAAATATCAAAAACAACAACAAAAACAGGTACAGCTGTATTTATTTTTATTTCAAATTCCGTTCAAATAATTTAACGTATAATAACATTTAAGGAGACAATTGTGGTCAATTTTTCAAGTCATTGTGTAAAAAGATGACGTTAAAAATAATGAAACTTCTATTATTTTTGGAGGTTAATTTATACTGACCAACTGACCATGGCGTTCCCCCGCGGGAAACGGGTGACTGATTTTATCGATAAATGAAGAACGGTCGTCAGAATTTTGTCCGCGGTGGAAACAACTGAACACCGGGGATCGCGGGGAAATTAGGCTTCTCATCGCGGACGAACCCCCGCGTTTGTCCGCGATAAAAAAAAATCGTCCGCGGTGGTATCGCGGAAAAAGCAAAACCCGCGGTGAGCGTACTGTAGTCATTAATGACCGTCTCAACTGTAAATAAATATTAGAAACAATGTCTGCTTTTTTTTATCAGTTGTCTCTATTAGCAGATTTTTTTGCCTCGCAGTACTTTTTCTGTGTAAGAATATGTTTAATTGCCTCTCCTGTTATCATTAATAATATTTGGCTATTGTTTAACAAAGACCTATTTAATTAATAAACTCCTTCTCTATTCTACGGCCAATAATCACACATGAATAACAGTCTATCAATAATGCCATGTGTTGTACTGCTACAGAGTGAGATTCTTTAAATGAGACCAGACAAGACAAATTTTCTAGTCCATTATTTGCATTGAAAACAACCACATGTAACTTCCTGCAATTTTGATATCTTTTGCGGAGTCCCAATTCAATTTTGTTACAAACTTATATATACAGAATAAAGAACAATGTAAAACATGTTTGTATTACATAAACCATACAGCAAAATCTTACCATCAGATAATTCTGTGTAGTTGCTCTTGCTGGCCTCGCGGCTGAATGAGCCAAATATTGAGATCTTTCGTCTTTGTTTGTTACAGACAACCAGAGATTTCTTTATGGCTTGAATTGCTGCCTCTATATCATTCTGTAAAACAAATATAAATAGTTGTCTAACTCTTTCTATGTTTTCATATTTTGTAGCATATTAACAAAAATTGTAGAATATTTACATTGAAAGATGGGGCGTTTTGTCTGCAGATTTGTGAAACATAAATTTTAATCAGTTTAAATATAAATTGTACAGCACTCAACTTGGAATTCTAATGTTTTTCTTGGATGTCGTGAGAATACTGCCCTGGTGTGACAGGTTTTTTTAAAACTAGGTCTGTGATTATCCTGGCACAAAAAGAAACCCCACAAGCTGCTCTCTCAGTGTGATATTATGAAGTTTCATGTTGATCCATCATATTGACTTAAAAGGTTAAACTCTAGACAAATATTAAAATGGGCAAAAACTCCCAAGATATGCAAAAAAGAGTTATAGACTAGCTCTTAGGAAATGCACTTTTTCATAATGAAATCTATGCATTTTTGAAATTTAACATTGATACCATCCATTATTTTTGAACCACTAGCAATAACAAGGTATGAAGACAAAGGGAAATAACATCAAAACTTGGTAAAGAAAGTTATAGCTCGGGACCCTGCACTCCTTCTCAATGAGATTTATCCACCTATCAAATTCAAAATTGATACTTCTATTAATCTTTTAGTAATACCCAAGACACTAATTACGGAAAAATAGTCTTTTTATAAAAATCGAGGCAAAATTTGTCAAAATTGGAAACATGGTAGTTTTACAAACATACGCATTTTGAGTTACAAATTAATTCCAGTTCTGATTTCAAAGATATTGAACAATCTGATTCCTATATATATGTAACCATGTTTTGTGCGGGTGTAATTATAAATAAAGTTATACATTAATTACCATATCAAATGTCATCACAGCCTGTATATACATAATGGTCCCATATCCCAAGGCATGGTACATACTCCAGTCAATGCTGAAAATAACATATAAATTACATAATAATTACTAATTACATATAAATAACATGATACATGTCATCATTACTATTATTTTCTTTATTATGAAAACTAAAATCTTTTGAAACCATTGGGCCAAAACGTCTTTGAAAGTTTTCAGAACAACTTAACTTATGACAAATACCAATAGCATAATATACAAAGGGACTGCTGATGGCTCTTATTGGCTTAAAATGCAATAGCAAAGTATAGCTGTATCTTTTTAAAAAGTTTTTCCCAATGTAAGTCTGTGTAGCATTAATAACCCCTAGGGAGTGACCAATTTTTACCCTATGTGTACAATTTGAACAACTACATTGTAAGTGGTCAACATAACAGTGACCTTGACCATTGACAGATAGGCCTCAAAAACAATTGTCATGACCAACCTCCACACTAAATATTAAAAGTGAATGTTAAAGCATTTTCAGATTCAACGTCATTGTGACCTTGACCTCCATGCATCAGTGCCCAAAACAATAAATGTCTTTTACTCAATGAGGGTGGTGACACATCATTTTATGAAATTTGGAAGGTATGGGTCAAATGGTTCCCCAGTAATTTAGTGGAAATTACTTTCACAATCATGATTCTGGTACACATTTACCAGACACCTTTGGCCGCTGAGAGATGACCATACTTTTTTGATCCAGCCATGTATCATTGTTCTTAACTGATTATAGCATATCTAACACATCAAACAAATCATGTCGCCAAGGCCATTTCCATTAAACATTTGATTTTTTTATAGTTACTATATTATATAGTAAATGTAAGTACATAAAATCATAATACTATAGATACAGATTTAGTCACTTATATCAATTTGAATTTTACTCAGGTAAAAAACTTTCAACAAATCAAAGTACACAAATTTTATACCAAGGTTCCATTCTATTCTTTGCTTCTGTGAATCTATTATTAAGAAACAACTTCAGAGCAACATGACAGTCTTGTATACAGGAATTAAGGTCTTCAGGTTTTGTGCTAAAACATTCAATAAGATATTAATATAATTCACACAAAAAATTCAAAAGCATACTCAAAAGTTAAAATTTAATGACAGAACTTGTAACAGACAAGGCAGCAAGTCCCTACCAGTATGTTCTAATTTAAGGTAACATTTAACAATTTTTTTATTTTTAGAATATAATTTTAGTGTTGACACAGTCATTAGGAACTGGATTAGTACCGTTATTTTAGAACAGTTTTTTATGTATACATATTATTTTAAAGTATTTTAAAGAAACTTACATCTGTACATTCTCCACAGCATCTTCAAAAGTCTGAAAAGAATGTAATAGTTGTGAAAAAAGAATTAGCAAAATATCAATGTAAATCATATAACAATAATAACAAGGATAAGAATGGTCAATGGATTATTTATAATATACAACATTCGTATTGATAAGACTCCCTATTTTGATGTAAATGAGGTACTGGTGTGTGAGGCTGCTACTTCTTTTGAATCAATGGCAGCAAGCTCTATGGTATTTTCTGATCTTTGCAATCTAAATCATACTATATATCTGTATGTATTTTCCTGTATAATTTTATTTTGAAATACTATAATTCATTTTTGCTATAACAGTGAGTTTGACATATACCAAATTTTGCATGACAAGAGTTTCTACTTGCATCATGAATTAAATCATTTATGTTTACTTTTTTATGACAGCCACACTTTCTCCTTGCATACCCTGGCTAATTGTTATAAAATCGCTATGAAAAAAAATAGTTGCCACAACTGAGATTTGAACTCCATACGTCTCACATTGTAAGCCAGCGTGTAACCCTTCGGCCACAGTGATGTTATATATAATAAGACTGAATAAAACCACATTATTCTAAATATAGAATTTCAATTTATGGTTTGTAATTCGTATTAATTTCTAGGTAAACCTGTTGTTTAACGCTGATGTTAATGTCTTGGCGAAAATCTTCTTGCCCAAACAGTCCGACATGACGTATATATTTCACTACTCGACAGTCAGATTTATAAGTCTTGGTAATCGACAGCGCTAAAAATAGCATCTTTTTTACGTGGATTTAAATATCAGTGCTTAACTTACGGTAGAAATTGATTATGGATCGTCGACTACCCTAAATTCGTCCCTGTCCTAGAGTCAACATCCTTACTTTATATTTCAGAAAATCTAAATAACAAATGTTCATTTAGGGGCGTTTAATTCCAATCACAATAATCTGAAGCTTTATAGAAATAGCCGAGCCATTTTCATTGATAAAAATCATATTCATCTGCGTAATTTTTTGTTGTGCATTTATTGACAATTCTATTAGCCAAAGCTACTTTTAAACTTTGAATGCGTGGTTATTTGATGGATACTTGTAACAAAATGAAAAATATTTCTTTCTTTTACATCGCTAGTTTTAAGCTGTTTTGAGAACTACTTGTTGTTACTGGTTTGTCGGAAAAACTGTGCCTGAGGTTAAATGTCAGCATTGTATTTCCTGATCTGCGATCAAAAAATACAAAAATAGTTAGACTGACGGCTAAACCTTGATAATTGGCATACATGGGCATTACCCAAGAATTATAATTTATTCAGATTTAAAATGATCTTGTGATGTCACCAATGATGGAATATTTAGTTTAAAAAA